CCGGTCACTCTATGCTATATATTTGTGACATCAACGGTAGTCATGAATGCGTTAGCCTGTGTAAATTTTAAGCGATTCAAAACATTTTACGACATATATAACATTAAATTAATCCCTTTCAACTTGTTTAGATCCTTAATCATATTGTGTTCTCTCGTGTATTTTTCATATGTTTTCACCACCACCACCACAAGAAGAAGAAAAAAGGCAACAACAACGAAGTACATGTAGACGCTTCTATTTATGTCAGTTTACAGAATACACAATAACCTAACAACAGCTGATCGTTTTATGTATTACTGCTTTTAGTACTGTTATTATTGACATTACTCAGATAGGAAAATAATTTCTTTTAGAAATATTGTACAAGGTGAAAATGTGTTGAAATATCACACGTTGACAATCCCTTAATGTATTGAAAATACTGTTTAGAATAAAGTGATTATCATCATTATGATAATGATAGTTGAACGAGATTTATCCCATAGTAAAGAGCTATTTATTCTCAGTCTATAAACAGTATCTTTTTGGAATAGCTCTAAGTACAACCAGGTACTATATTGTGATGCTGGTGGTATCCTCTTTAAATTTCTATTAGAATGTTTTACTTACTAATGAATTAATTAGTATGAGATTACTTTTTGTTCAGAGTAAATTGTTCTCTGGGCTAGATTTGTAAGTTGACAACTAAAACCCTTACCCAACCGATAGCTGCTGCCTTGACGTGGTGGTCGGGCTTGCATATCACAATGACCCAACGAGCTATGCTGGTGGAACGCTTGTTCCCTCGAGGTCCTACCATACCAGAAAGGTCTGTTGGGTAGTGGTTAGACGAAAAGCAGTTACCGTTATAGTGTAAATTGCTACACTATGATGGGGGTCTGAGGGCGAAGTCGTACTGCTGCTAGCTGGATGGGGTGTGACAGCAGTAAGGTGTTTCCCTTGGATGACCAGCAGTGCCAAGCTGATGCTGCCTTCTCAGTGGAAGGGGGGGTTAGAAAAGGTCGGCCCCAAAAATAACACACTCCACCACGCCCCACGGTCTGCCGGGCCGGCGGTGTTGGTTCACTTGTCGTTTCCTTTCGACCATCCGGCCCCAAAAATACAAAAATTCAAAATAATCATACTCAAAAGGCTGGGTGTGACAGGCCTCAAGCAGATGTCCGATGGGCTCTGCGGTCACACAAATCTCTTTCAGGTACCTTAAGAAGAAATAGCCTTCCACGGTGTGGGCAGCCGGGAAGTGTCAACCGCCCTCACAACTCTGTCAGCACCCAAGTTTCTTCTGACTGCTATCCTCCTCCTCCATCATTACCTTCTAATCTTCCTTCACGTCTCTTAATTAATGATGCTGCATCATCTTCAATTTCTCCTACCTCTGCAGCCTTCGACAACGATCTGAGTCCACAGAACAGCATCCCTGGTCTCCTTAAACCACGCTCCAAATTACATATTGGAGCCTTCAATGTCCGCACCCTCCGTCAAATTGGCCAACAGGCTTCGTTGGCAAAGACTCTAGCAACTCGGGCATGGATGTGTGCTGTGTTTGTGAGACACGCATACAGGACCCAAGTGTGGTTATTCACCTGACCTCTCCTGACCAATCTGGTGAATCTGCAAAATTCACCCTTCGAGTTTCTGGAGATTCGATAGCTAGCTCTCGTGGTCTTGCAGGTGTAGGTATAGCATTAAGCACCAGGGCAGAAAACTCACTACTAGACTGGATCCCAGTTGATAGTCGCCTCTGCGCTATGAGGCTGAACGGCACAGTGAGAACTAAAAGGAATAGTGAGACTCGCCGTTGTCTCTTTGTAATCTCTGCTTACGCACCCACTGACTGTAGTTCGGATGAAGTGAAGGACGAGTTCTACCATAAACTGTCTAACCTCCTCTCGAAAGCCAAACGTTCGGACGTAGTGGTTGTTGCAGGTGACCTCAACGCACAGGTGGGTAGACTGAGTGAGGCAGAAAGGCACTTAGGTGGCACTTTCGGAATCCCAGCTGAACGTACAGATAACGGTGATCGCCTATTACAACTATGCTCAGATAACCGCCTATTTTTAGCCAGCACAAATTTCAGACATAAAGAAAGGCACTGTCTGACCTGGCGTCCACCGAGCTCGACTCAGCGATGGACACAGATAGACCACATTGCTATTAGTCATCGCTGGAGAGGATCGGTGGAAGACTGCCGCTCCTTCTGGAGTACGTGTTTGGACAGCGATCATGCGTTGGTCCGAGCACGTATATGCCTGCGTCTCAATGGACGTAGAAAAAATTTGGCAACAAAACCACTACGAGTTCTGCTGGACAACGAAAACACCAAAGCCGTGTTCAGTGAGAAGTTGGCTAGGCAGTTATCGGAACAAAAGACTGTCACTCATCCAGAAGAAGCTTGGTGCCATCTTCAGTCTACTGTAAAAGCAGCACTGGAGACTGTAGCCGACTCCAAGATAATGGCTAAAAAGAGCCAGTGGATATCAGCAGCTTCTTCCAAACTAATGGATGCACGTGAATGCATCCCTGCAGGCTCTGAGTACAATGAAGAGCGAGCGCAACTTAAAAATAAACTGACGAAAAGTCTGCGCAACGATCGTGAACAGTGGTGGGCAGCAAAGGCTAAAGAGATGGAAAAGGCAGCGGCGATCGGTAACAGTAGACAGTTATTTAGACTTATTAAGGAGACTGGGGGGAAATGGTCAACAACAGTTAGTGAGGTTATAGCGGAGAAGGACGGATCGGCGATTCACTCGCAGGGAAGGCGACTGGGACGATGGGCAGAACACTTTGAGGAACAGTTTAACTGGCCTCCAGCCACCATTGCGCTGCCCGCTATCCAGTCGGACCCTGAATGGGACATAGAGACAGGTCCCCCAACACTAGAAGAAGTTGAGAAAGCGGTAGGTAGCCTGAAACGGGAAGGGCAGCAGGACCAGACGGACTACCTGCTGAGGTATACAAGAATGGTGGTAGAGTTCTCTTAGTCAGGCTAACGGAAGTGTTAGCCAGTATATGGGAATCAAATACGATCCCCTCCGACTGGTCTAAGTCACTGATCATCCCAGTCTTCAAGAAAGGCGAGAAGTCCTCTTGTGATAACCACAGAGGAATCAGCCTGACAAACATAGTGTCTAAGATCCTAAGTTCTATAATTCTCCGACGCCTGAGTGGAGCTCGGGAACAGCAAGCCCGAGAAAACCAGGCAGGCTTTAGACCTGGCCGTGGATGTATCGACCAAATATTCACACTGCGCCAGGTCCTGGAACATAGGCATGCTTACAGACGCCCGACAATAGCTGTATTTCTCGACCTGAAGGCGGCATTTGACTCCGTTGATCGAGAAGTCTTATGGCAGTGTCTGTCACTGAAAGGCGTGCCTAGTAAGTACATCACCTTATTGAAAGCTCTCTACTCGAACACTTGTGGGCATGTTAGAGCCTATGGTGAGTTGTCCAGGGAGCTATACTCATCAAGTGGTGTCCGTCAAGGATGCCCACTATCCCCATTCTTATTTAATTTTATCATAGATATTCTTATGGAGGTTTCCCTCTCGTCACCTAATTACAAAGACGTTGACCGGATCACAGGTGAATTTTCCTTAGATCTAGAATATGCAGATGACATAGTCCTGTTAGGTGAAGACGCTGACAAGATGCAGAGTCTTCTGAACACTTTGAGTGGGAATTTGAGAATGTTTGGGATGCGATTTTCACCACCCAAATGCAAATTTTTGCTCCAGGACTGGTCTTCAGCGGTACCGCGGTTAACAATAGAGAGTGAAGTGGTTGAGTGTGTTGACCACTTCACTTACCTGGGAAGTAGGATCAACCCGGTGGGTTAGTTGCCGATGAGATTTCTGCACGGATACAAAAGGCTCGATTGGCTTTTGCCAATTTGCGCCACCTATGGCGCCGCCGTGATATTCGTTTGTCTATTAAGGGTCGCGTGTACTGCACAGCAGTCCGCTCTGTTCTACTGTATGGCTGTGAAACATGGCCATTGAAAGTGGAAGAACAAGAAGGTTACAGGTGTTTGACCACCGTTGCCTTCGTAGTATAGGACGTATTCCGTGGTGTCACCATGTGAGTAATGCAGAAGTTAGGTGTAGAGTTTTAGGGAGAAGAGGTAAGTCAGTCGACGAGGTTGTGAACCTTCATCGACTGAGATGGTTGGGACACGTACTACGTATGCCTAGTCACCGATTGCCTCGTCACACAATGTTGGCTGAGGTGGGTTCAGGCTGGAAAAAGGCCCGAGGTGGCCAGACTAAAACATGGCACCAATGTATGAAGTCTCTGACTGTTGGTTTAAGCCATGTAGGACGATGCAGACTAGGTGGTTGGGGTCCACGGGACAAGAGGAACCAGTGGTTGGAGACCCTAGGTGATATGGCTCAGAACCGAAGTCAGTGGCGCAGATGTATACACACATTATCCTCATCTTAACAACGCTATACCGAATCTCACTATTTTGTCACTCCTCTTTCCTTTCTTCTCGTACTTTATATTTCTTTTGACTGCATTCACTTCATCCTTCACCTCACTACCTTTCTACTTGATGAACTGACGTGAGGTGTGTGGCAACGGTCCAGGTTGCCATTCATGGCCCAAATAGGTTAGTGGTACCGTCTTTGATCGCAGCATTAGACGATGTGTTTATGAATCTCAGTTGGGATATCAGTCCAGTCGAGGTTAAAACACACCTTAGTAATGAGTGCCAACAAGCACAAAATCTAGGTAAACAAAGCTTCCTGGCGATTACCTCCAATCAACTAGCATGCATGGAACTTGTATATCTAACTTGTATTCAGTGTTAAGATGAAATAGAACTTTGTGTATATCATACCTTTTACAGTAAAATATTCAAATATTCTGAGATTTTATTAAAATCTACTTTCGTAATGATTTAATTAGACTTGACCGTCAACTTCTTTCAGGACACTTTTAATAACTATCGCATAGATGTTCATTATATTCATATTTTTGTTGACAAAATTTCAGAATTCTTCTAATCATAAAGAATGTCAACCTTTATCTAATGGAAATGATGCACTTGTCGATTTAGATACAACGGAAGAAACAAGCACAAATGATGAGGTTGACAATTTATCACCGATTACAGAGGAAGATGATGCTGATGAGATGATGAAAGATACATATGAAATTAAGAAAAAGAAACTCATGTTTAATTTTATATCACAAGCTGTTACCAATGGAAAATGTAGTGAGGTGGGTAGAATATCATACAAAATTATCTTTTCAAGGTTCTGTTAATTATATATGCCGTGTATTTTGTTTCTGCATAACTACTGATGAATTTTATTCATCAAATCCTAGTGAAACAAAGGAATTCAGTAGCATGACGCCACTTCACTCTGTTTCTGCAGTCGGTTTCTTTAACCTGGCTCCACGACTGCCCACAACCTTTCATTTCTTCCTCACACCATCTCATCCATATCACTCTCGGCTAGGTTGCCCAACTCATCGTTTCCCATGTGGCTTCCATTCGATGATGGCCTGGCGCGTGATATCCCCAAACCGTTTTTTCAGTCTATGTTCAATCTAATCCATCTCCACTTCCTTCTGCATATTTGTTTGGCGAAAGGTGGTTAATTGGTTCGTTGCTAGGCCAGAGCTCCTGTTTGCTTATTCTTATTATTCTGGCCATCTGATCTCCATCTTCAGTATAGAGTGAGCGAGCATAGGCCCCAGCTGTTCATGTGATGAATGTCTGTAGTTTGTTGGAAATGCTTTTCACAACGCGTCATGTCTCTCAACCATCACATAGAAGCAAGCACTGACATACTTGATTGAATTCGTTTTGAAAATCCGGATATTGTTCACACTTTATGCTGAGTGGAGTGGAGTGCAGTGCAATGCAGTATAGATCTCCACGCCGATCATCTAAGATTAATGCAGGAAGGCCTGTCTTGCTGTGTTTCTGATCCTGGTTTTCTTTGACATCCTCATCTGTACTTGTGTCGCCTGTAGTTGAAAGGATGCTGCTTATTGAGGTGGATAGGTAGGTGAAAGAGACAACTTTGTTGAGATTTCTCGTGTTGATTGTGATTGGTGTTTGTTGTTGTTGTTGGTTGGATATCTTCATCCCGTCTGTCTTCTCTACATTCACTTGAAGTCTCGTCTTCGCTGCCTCATTTCTTCTACCAACTTGTTAGTTTTTCCTGTAGATCTTCGAATTTGTGTGACATAAGTCACTAGACATGAATCATCATCGGCGGAATCTAAATCTTCTGGGGTTTATTCATCGGTCCAACCAGCGTATACCCATCTTCTCGCTCCTCAGTCTGTTTCATGACCCAGTCCAGTCCACCACAATCGAGAAGATCATGGGCTATTGTACGCGGTAACCTTTTCTTACTCTCGTCTTAACTTTAGAGGTAACGCTGGACTTTTCATTGTGAATCACTTTGCATGTGGCATCATAGAGCACATACTGCTGCTGAATTCGTTTGATAAAGGTTTCTGATACCAAAACCGTAGTGTTGAAGCAGCTGCCTGAAAAATTACTTCTTGATCAACGCTATCGAAGGCCTTTTCAAAATCTATGAAGTTAATGTAGATAGTTGACTGCTATTGTATTCTCTGTTCTATGATCATGCGTAGTGTAGCGTTGCACTTCGATCCGCACAATGATTTGTTTTTCCTGAAGCAGTCAGCCTGTTTCGATCGTAGTTTTGAATCAGAAGCATTTTTTAGTCTCTTCCGGATGACGCGGACCTAACACTTCGCTAGGGGTGGACAGGAGCATGATTCCGCTCCAGTTCTTGCAAAGACTTAGATCTCCCTACTTTAGGATTTTGACCAGGTAGCCCTTCTTCCAATCATCATGTATGTTTCCTTCCTTCCTTCCAAACTTTTTGTCGTCGTGGTGTGAGGATGTCCGCTGATATCTGTGCGTCTCTTTTCATTATTTCTGGAAGAATTCTATCTGATCCTGCTGCTTTCACGGCTTTCGATAAATTTATGGCTTTTGGGACTTCTGCTTTTGTCAGTGGGTTTTTGTTCTCTAATAGTTTCATTTGCACTACCGAAGCTAAGTATGAAATCACTCATCATCTAATCCCATAACTATTATTAGTCACTGAGGTGTCTTATTGACTTTGCTAGTCCATTGGGTTCCTCCGCATGTATTCGAGTCCATCCCTGTCGCCTTTTGATGTATCCTATTGATTTTGTCTTTCCAAGCAATCTGATGTTTACTCATAGTTTCATATACTTTTTCTCGAGACTTCAAAGTAACACTATTGGTTGTGAAGGGCTTCAGGAATTAAAAGCTTCTTATACAGATCTGGACTGTATCACACTATGACAGTCATTAACAGATATTTGTATACTCTTATCCACAAGCTTTAAGGCTTTATGATGGTGTGTGCATTTTTTGTATTGTTTTGTTTTCAGACTAATACGTTAGTTTCCGCATCTGAAATAGGTTCTTTGCAAGCATTTGAAGAAGCTAAACCGGTGCCTACTGTTCAGTGTAACGGAATTCCCTCGATTAGCAGTGAAATTCACAAGTTAGATATCTAGATGTATAACGTTTCAAAATCTAAAATGGTAAATGTCACTGAGTCCACCTCTCAGGTAACATTCTCTTTTAGAGTGGTTTCACGGGAAATAATGCCAAGATTTGTGGGGATTTTAATGGTTCAAAATTGGTCCTCACTAGGGACTAACATCAACTGAAGGAGAGTCAGCAAAAACCGGGGACCATTGGACAGCTGTTTCGTCCTGATATGGAACTCCTCGTTAGTGAGAACTCATGACCCCATGAGATCGAACCCAGGAATTTTGGATTTACAAGATGAGAACGTCACCATTGAGTTAACAGGTCGGAATCCAACGGTTCTCATTTTCCTACTTTCGTCAATTCACGATATAAGGCGATCTTCATCCAATTCTATCGGGAATATATGTCTTCATTTTCGACATAGTTTGACTTCCCGGTCATGATTTCTCATTAGAGTTTTGAGAAATCTAATCTCGAATCAAGTCATTAATAAGGACTGGATTTGAAGTCAGGTACTCAACTAACACACTGAATGAAGGTTATACTATATGATGAACTGACTCAATAGCAACTTGCTCTCTGTGAAACATGAAGTTCCTAGGAACTATCTCTGATAGGGTCTGTTGAAAGCTGCGCATTGTCAAATATCTCATACTAAGATGAAACAGCTATCTAGTTTTCTTAGCTTTTCAATAGTTCTCTAAATGGTGTCAATCCATTATGAATATCAACTTGAAATATGTGGATACTTTTTTCCCAGATGAATGATTAAAACATTGTATTGAATAATAGAGTTTTCGATATTGATTTTAGATGGTTCAGAATTCAGTTACTGAAAATTCTGATATTAAAGACGCTACACTTTCAACAACATTAGAAAAACATTTGTCAACAATGAATGGAATACCAACATTAACTGATCATTTCATTCTGTTATCATTAAAAGATCAAAAAACAAATTATTCAATGAAAAATGATCAAACATTAGATAATTTAGAGTTGAATTCTATGCAAAGATTAATTCATGAATTAAGTGATTTTCTACCAAATAGTTTAATACAAAATAACCTGAGAAATAATGATGTTAAAATGTTTAGATTAAATGATGAAGGGAATAAAAATCAAAGTAATATTTTATCTGAAAAACAATGTGAAAAATTCAGTTCAAATTTCAAGGCAAGTTCACCAAGAGTATTATCTATAAGATCACCGAAAGCAAGGTAAATCCATTTTTTTGATAATGACAATATCTGAGTAATGTATTATTGCTTGTATTACACCATTGTTGTTTGGACTGAATTGATCAGTCTCTGTTGGTATGTGGGCACCTGTGTGGATGCCTCTATATTGCCTATGTTTTAATTGTGTATAGTAATGATGGGCAGTGGAATCTAGGATGTGCGTTTCGTCTTATTTAGGACTTGTTAGCTAGATGTACCTGCTTCCCAGTGATGTTATCCCCACCGGGACTGCATCGATTGGATCCTTTAACCTACAAACCTAGTTTGTGTGCGAATTTTTTGGTTTAAATGTCAGCCATTTTAATTCCAGTAGCCTTATTGAGAATTCTTCGTGATGCTTCTCAAGTGCTTTTAAAGTCACTCGAGAAAAGGCGAATTTAAAGGTTACTCTTGCAACTGATGAGACAGCCAATGACAATCCTCTATTTTATAAAAAAGGGATCATTATGTCACACAAACTTGAAGATCTACAGGCAAAAACTAACAAGTTGTCAGATGGGGCAGGGCAGCGAAGACGGGACTTCAGATGAATATAGAGAAGACAGAGGTGATGAAGATACCCAACCAACACCACCACCAACAACAGAAAGCCCCAATCACCATCAACGGGAGAAACTTAAAGGAAGTAACCTCCTTCACCTATGTACGAAGCACTGTTTCAACTACAGGTGGCACAGAGGAGGATGTCAAAGCTAGCCAAGATCAGAAAAGCAAGACAGGCTTTCATTAGCCTGAAACCAGTGTGGAGATCTTCTGCACTTAACACAAAGCGTGAACAAGATCCAGATTTTCAACACCAATTCGATCAAGTAAGTGCTTCTGCGTGATGGTTCAGAGACTTGGTGCGTTACGAAAGGGATTTTTAATAAACTACAGACATTCATCAACAACTGCCTACAATGGCTCGTTACTGAAGATCAGATGGCGAGAATAATAAGAATAAGCAACAAGCAGCTCTGGGAACGAACCAACCAAGAACCTATCGCTGAACAAATATGCACGGGAAGGAAGTGTAGATGGATTGGGCATACACTGAGAAGGTCGACTGGGGACATCACGCGTCAGGCCCTCGAGTGGGACCCAGATGGGAAGCGACGAGTTGGGTGTCCGAGGTGAGGGTGACATGGAGGAGATGGTGCGAGGAGGAAATGAGAGGTTGTGGGCTGTCGTGGAGTCAGGTTGAAAACATTTCGGAGAACAGAGTTCACTGGAGACGTGCTAGTGAAGCTCTATGTTCGATTAGGAACCCAAGGGACTAATAATAATAATAATAATTTTATAAAAAAGAACTTTTTCAGGCGAAATACCGTAGCGTTACTGGCGTATTCAGCAGTAGCTAAGGTGACCGTTGAAGTCACTTTTGAGAAAATTACCGTGTATGAGGAAATCGGTTACTTCGTGTTCATGTACTTTTGCCATGATTATTGAGTGTGAAGTGCTGTTTCGGATATACTATCCAAGTATTTTGACTACTTAGGCCTTCCTTTCTGTCTCATGCATAAGGATTCATCGTAGTGTGAAATGGCTCAAGTGTCCAATCTTTCCTTGTGATTTGAAAATCCTTTTAGAATAATTTTAATATTTTTAGTGTTTTCAACTTTATGTCCATGTGAAAGGACAAGACGTGGTTGGAGCGAAGAATAATTTTTCTTTTCGACGAAGCCATTTGTTACTAAGCTGTACGTTCATGAATATGTGTTTCAGTGGGTAGAACGTTCCAGAATTATTTCCAGTTAGGGGTAAAATATATTCAATAACTAAAAGAAGGTAATTAGTACACATTTGGGTTTAGTGTAGAAAAATAGACAGAGATTATGGAAATGAATCTATGACAGTCAAGGTCAATGTGTGAAAGACAAGCCGACGCATTGGGTCAAATCAGTGTGTGTCTACCAGTTTACTTGCTCTTGTGGAGCTGAGCACATCATGCGACCCCTTATAAAACGTGCCCACAAACACTATGCAGATTGCCTAGCAAAGGGAGGATGGAAATATATCTTCAGTTAAATAACAGAACACCTCGTGAACTCAGGCAAGTTAGCTCCTTTTGAAAGCTCATTCAAAATTCTCTACAGGATTCAGTCAAACCACTCGAAGGGAGTAAGATCAAGGCATTTGTTTATAGATGATGCACTAGCTACCTAGAAGTTCAAAGCAACGTTATGCGTCCAAAAAAGGTACGTGCAACCTTTATCTTTGCCTTGACCATCATAAAGCCTTTACTGTCATAGACTTATTCTGTGTTAGGTAACTATACATATACTTCCATAATCCGCTGTTTATTTTCCTACTTTCATAAGTTTATCCTTGATTACATAATTACAATTTTATTTTCATAACCCTTCGTCCATTTTCCTACTCTATCACAGTTTTATCCTGTATTACATCTAATTACATTTAATTTCATAACCCCATGTCCATTTTCCCACTCTAAACCCAAATGTGTATTAATTAACTTCCTTTAGTCTCCTAACTGGAAATAATTCAGGAACGTTTTACCCACTGTAACATACATCTGCGAATGTACAGCCTAGTAGTAAGTGACTTCGTCGAAGAGAAAGGTTTTTCTTCACTGCAACCACGTCTTGTCTTTATGATTATGATAGATGGTATAAACAACGATTGCCAATTTGATTTGTAAACTTTGGAGTTCTACAGGATTATTTGGAGATCATTTTGTATATTCCATTTTAGTCTGTTTATTACAAATATCACACACTGAAACAGTATCATTTACTGGATAACGTTTCGGACACAATTTTTTCTCTATATTCATATTAGGTAACTTCATAACCTCGAGACAGACTTTATATATTCCTAATTTTATCTTCTCTGTATAGCTCACATCTTCTTTAACATGAATGACGATCTTGCATGATGATTCGGTATGGCTTAATTTGTAGACACAATTCTGTGTAAGGGTGAAAAGAATTCTATATTTTTCAAAGAGACTTAAACGTTTCCGAGAGTGTTAGTTTTCTCGTAGAAGGCTTGAATTCAGCGCCTTCTCAAATCCCTTGTAGTTCTTCAGCTGTTCATTAGGGTAATGTTAAGAGTACTGTACTAGGACTCATCATTTGACTTTCCTTTTGAATTTCTTTATTCAAATTTTTTAACCGTTTTGAATGATATTCTTAAGGTAGTTATTGAAGTGTTTCTTACTTCTGTTTGTCTTTCATTTTTATTGGTGACGAGCTTCATGACCCTCCTGAATAAGTTCCGAGCAAGTGGAAATTTAGTACAAAGTGGATTTGCTGAGATGAAATCAAGATACCGCATCTAAATATATTGGTTTACTATAAATTGATACACTTAGACTTCCATTGCTATTCATTTTACCCTGAACAGTCTAAAAATGGTTGTTCACCATTTGCATTTTCTTATTCACATATGAATTTGATATGTGCGGAGAATGAGTATTGATTACTTCAGAAAAAATAATCCTCAAGGACTGGTCTTAATAAAATTACGAATGTATCAACCACGTATCTGAGCCAAATGTGTGAGACATGAAGAGGTCTTCAACAATAAGGGACATCAGAGAATCTATTACTTCTCCATTTGTTTGTTTTTATAATTTCCCTCTAAACGTGTAAGGTATCTAGTTTAAACGAAGTTCGAGTGGTTTTGTGATAAGGCTGGGGTTCAAAGGAGATCTATCTGCCAACATATTATTACTCTGTAGCAATTCATGTATAAAATCTGAACATTTTTTAATAAGAATACTGGTATACAGTGAAACAACATCATAACTGATCATTATTTCATTCTCTTCAATAGTAAATTTCGATATTTTCTGTGTGAATTCATAAGAATCTTTAATTGACCTGATAACAGAGCGTTGGAGAGGCTTTTGTATTAATGTGAGTTATATCGATAATCCAGATGTCGAAGAGTTAGTAAAGTTCACTGTCTGTCTTAGAAGGATATCAGGTTTATGAATTTCCGGTAATCCATTGAGACATGATGATGTGCATGATTTTGGATATAGAGAAAACCATTATAAGTCGCTGATGAACAGTTTGAATTCCTTTTAAAGTTAAACTTTCTCTGTTTTCATCTTGTTCTTCATTACTTGACATTTTTTCGATCTAATATCTTCATATGGACCAGTTGAGAAATGTTCAAGTGCTTTACTGTGATAATCATTGTTACATTTCCTTTATCTGCCTTGGTGATTACAATTGTTCTATCTTTTCGATTTTACAACTTACATACATTGTCGATCTCACTGGGAAATTTGTTTTCAGGTCATTGAAACACATTTTAACATAGTTTGTTGCTTTCAGTAATACGGATATTCGGTAAATAAATTTTTATGATCTATAAGGGGGTATAAACTACAGACAACAGCTGCCTACGCTCGTTACTGAAGATCAGATGGCCAGAAAGAATAAGCAACAAGGAACTCTGAAAACGAACCAACGAAGAAAGAACCTATCACTCAACAAATATGCAGAAGAAGGAAGTGGAGATGGATTGGGCATACACTGAGAAGGCCGACTGGGGATATCACGTGCCAGGCTAAACCGTCGAGTGGAATCAAAAGGGGAAACGACGAGTTGGGTAAGGAGGGTGACATGGAGGAGATGATGTGAGGAAGAAATGAAAGCTTGTGGGCAGTTGTGGTGCCAGGTCCAAAAGACTTTCGAGAACAGAGTGCAACGGTGACGTTCTACTGAAGCCCTATGTTCCACTAGGAACCCAACGGAAAAATAATAACAATAAGGGTGTGCAATCAGTGATATTTCATGTCTGAATTGAGTCTAGTGTCAGCTTCTTTTTATTCAAAGTTAACATAGATTGAGATGTATTAGTTATGCTGATGATAGTAGTTTTTGTAGTATACTAAACACTAAAAACGTTATCTTAATGAAACTATAATGCCGAGGTACGATGACAACATTATACCTCTACACGAAGATAATGTAATGTTGCACTTGCCTTCGAAAGGCAGTTAATTGGTAGGTTCTATTGTTGAGTGATTAATTATCTTCACTTATGTGTAGGGTAGTTTAAAAAGCCAGTGGGCTGAATGAAGAGTTGAATTGGAGGTTTTGGGGGGGGGTTAAGAGATTTTTAAGTTGGCATTCATCATAAACTGACATCAGTTGGAGGAATATTGGAAACCTGGGAGCACTGGACTGTTGCGTCCTAGTATGGGACTTATCAGCAGTGCTCACCTATGCCCCAAACCCAGGTATCGAACCTAGGACCTTCAGGTTCCGTCGCAAACACGTCACCAATGAGCCACTGATAACGCGTTGGCCACGGAACCTGAAGGTCACGGGTTCGTGGGTGTGCACTGTTGAGGAGTTCCATACTAGGACAAAATAGCTGTTCAGTGCTCCCAGGTTTCCAATGTTCCTCCAACTGATGTCAGTCCATGATGAATACCAACTTGCCAAATGGAGTGTGTTCATTATGTGAAGTATTTTTCAGAAATAGAAGAATAAAGACAGTGAACAAACTCCTGAAAATAGTTAGATTTCACGTTTTATGAATATGTCATCAACGTCATTGTCTGTCTACCATTTAAAATTTCCGCTGAAATGGATCATAAAACAAAAAGTAGACATATGCGGAGCTAACGATCACCTTAGAATCAGTTTAAGTAGATCTGCACTTTGAGGTTTATGGAGATTTTATTTTCAAGATAGTATTCCTCAAGAACTGACATCAGTTGGAGAATCATTCAAAATCTTCATTATACCTCAAAGTGAATTACTATGCAGTGCTCATTGGTCACATACTTGAAGATGGTTACCCTGAAGTTCTAATGAGAGGTTGTGATATGTGGAGTCAATCAGTTGGAAGTGAAACGTATGCAAACTGAAAATTGAGATGGAGGATAATTGCGCTTTATTGCGATTTTACAGAAGTAGAAAAATTCAAACTTCAACCCACTGGCTTACTGGTTAACGCGTTCGCTGCTGAACCCGAAGATTATGAATTCTATCCTTGGTTAAGTGAAGTCAAGGGTATGTAACGCTGTTGAGTTCTATACCAGCTACCCAGTGCCGTCATGTTTTCATTGGTTCTCCAAATGATATAAAGTTCGAGATGAATACTACTTACAAAATTGTATTGAAAATGTAACTTTTGAGGAGTTATATCCCCAAAATGCTTAAATTTGAGTGAATGTAAAGGCCACCCTAACAATAATTGAAATAAGCAGTTGAAATTATTTATTTTATGAAAATCCTCCATTCCAGCTGAAATAGAGGAACCTAATTGGCTATTTCAGTCATTGCTAAGGTGGCTTTCAAAGTCACTTTTAAAACTCAACCAGTTGTAATTTACCTGGTTGTGGCTAGCATAGGAATCCAGGATGCGCGTTTCTTCCCATTTAGGACTTGTCAGCAAATTACCGTAATTAACATTGAGGCAATATTGAGGCATCCTCATAGAAGCCCATAGGTCAACAGAGGTCGAACAATTCGATTCAATAAAGCAACAAAGAATTACAAGTATATCAATAAATAACCAACCATTTATGCTTAAGTTTGTGCTTTTTTTTCTAATTTACTAAAGTAATCAGATTGACTTTAAAGTTTGAGCACTTAACTCATTATCTACTTTATTTTAACTCAAATTTACAGTGAAAAACAATTTTTGCATTTACAACAATCTCATCTTGTTGGACCATATGTTGTTGATAATCGTAGAAGAACTGTATGTACATCAGTTATTGTTGAACCAGACTCGAAAATCACTACCAAAGCGATAACATTGGATACTACAGTAGAAGATACCGATTCAATTAGTTTGAATACAAATTTAGAACCTGGTAACCAACTCATAGAGTTAACACAAACAAAATCAATTGAGAGGAATGAAGCACCATACAGGTAATATCACATTACTCTGTCTGTTGATCAAGACCTATGTTTAGTATGTTAATTAAGATGAATGATTCAATTTAACAGACACATTAGGGACCTATATACTTGATTTCATGCAGATATCATTTCTCACAAAGCAGGCTCTTACTTGATAAATATATGTTTCTTGGCAGAGCTTTAAACTATAACTAGACGAATTCTATATGTTTACTTATTACTGCAATTGGAAATGTCAAAAACCGTGTTACTTATGGCTCATTCCGGAGTTCGTTAAGGACAAGTTGCCACTTTGGGCCACCTCAGTGTGTGTCCACAAATTTACTTGCTTCTATGGAGCTAGTTATATAGGCCGCACAAAGCGCGCACTTTCTCAACGTATCTCGGAGCACTATCCTTCATGGTAGTCGAGAGGAGAATGTAAATCAATTAACAGTTCAATTCTTGAACATTTGGTCAACTCTGGACATAAAGCTAGACCAGAATCCTCCTTAAATGTCATTTATCGTTCAGATGGAATATAGTTCAAAAGGAGTACACCCTCGACAGTTGTGCACAACGGAGGCACTGGCAATTCATCAATTCAAGCCTCCTCTCTGCGTGAAAAAGAAGTATGTTCAATCTCTCATCTTACCATGGTCTTAACACTTTCATTTTTTCGATTTCATTATAACTAATCAGTTTATTATTATCACTTTCATTATGACCCTCGTCTCATTCTTCACCTTCTTTACATCCATCTATCTATCAAGTGGATACTCAATATTTGCGTTTCTTATCTACCAACAATTTTCACCTTGTCAAACTCCTTGCCTTCCTCGATATTTCTACTGTCTTATTTTATTACGCAACTACTTTGCATTCTTGATTCCGGTTTTTTCCTAGCACTAGGTTAATGATATAATTATACCCTATTGTTTTATAATAGACTGTCATATGTTTATGATATATATAAATACGATTGTACAGCTACAGAAAATGATATCGTCGAAAAAGAAAATTTTCTTCGCTGAATTATCTCTTCTTTATGGCTTATTTTAGCACAGATTATTGAAGGTTTCAGCAGCATGCTTCAAAAGATGACAAGCTTCTTGTTTCTTCGAACAGTATGCATGCTTCTATCCTGTGGCTAACTTGGATACAAAATCAACTTAGAACCTCATACACAAGTTTATTAATTCAAGTTACCACGATTCACAAACAACAAGTGAGTAGAAAAGACTAATATCAAAGTAAATGAAGATATACGAGCAAACAATAAATTCGGAGATGCATGTTGATGAAAGTATTCAGGCTTTAGAAAACTTCACTACTGTGACCGATTTTACAGCTATGTCACCAGCAGTCCTCAACCAATTATTTCTATCAGCCAGCCAGTTAGTCCACACTTCCTTACCCGGCTCAGAACAACAGTTAGAGACTTAGTGCACCAGTGTCACGTTTTCGTCTAACCACCCTGAAACTTATTCCAAAGTAATCCGAATTCCTCTAACATGGCATGTCGAGATAGGCGGTGGTATGGCAGGCTCATTACGTGTGAAAACCACCTCAACTGACTAATATTCACTGCCTCAATAATCAACTTGCCTTTCTAGAGTAGTACTCTTCTCCTAACCTCAGCATCGCTCAGAAGGTGATTCCACCAAACACGAGCAAGGCTATGAAGACATCAGTGATCAAAACCCTACGATCGCTTGTTGTCCTCCATCTGTACCGGTCATGTTTCACAGCCATATAACACGAAAGGACGAACTGCAGCGCAGTATGTTCGTCCTTTGATACATAGCAGGAAATATAACCATTTGGCAAGTTAGTAAATGTCTAACGGACCTTCTGTATCTGGGCTGAGATTTGTCAGCAACCAGCTCGTTTGGGCTAATGCAGCTTCCCAATGAAATGAAGTGGTTGACGTATTCCACTGCTGCAATCCCTAACTTTAAACTGAGAGTATCTGCAGAGCAGTCCTAGAGCATCATCTTACACCTGACAGATGCAAAATGTATGCCATAGATAGTAAAATGTTTACTAAAGGCAATCAGAGAGCTCTACATTTTGTCAGTGTCTTCCTTTAGTCGGACACTGTTGTGTGCATACTGCGAGTCACTCAAATGCCTTCCAGGAAGTTGGTCAGTTCATCTGAAGTCAAGGGTACCTAGGTTTATTTTCATTAGTATGTCTACAGCGAAGTTTAACAGGAGCGATGACAGTAGACACCACTCGTTGCCGTCAATTCAGATGATAACTCCCCACAAGTCCTCACACAACTGGCATGTCATGCTACTGTACATCGCTTCAGGTGTGCAACAGCTTTCTCAACTTTGAGGACAGTTGGAGGAACGACATCTATGTACCATCCAGGTACATATTAGTTGCTGGACAACTGGAGATCTGTTGTGAGTCAGTTGGATCATGGTTTAAAGTGTTCCGCTAAATGTTTTAGCCGCCTATTCTAAGCTGTTACTGGGGTTCAACCCTTTTCGACTATGGTTTCACTAACCGTCATTTTGTTATTATTGATATCCGTAATAAACCTGAATAAGTACAGAATTTTGCCTAATACTTACACCTTCTCCATCTCCACCCCACTACTGCTTGCGATCATTGTGAAGACTTTTGGTTAATTAACGTTTAAATTGCTTTGCCTTCTCAGTGTGTTCGGAGTCAGTTGAATTTTCTCACATTTATCATTTGAGAACTGTTCATGAAAATCCTCTGGATTTTGATAACCTTCGAATGTAGGTTACAAGCCATCTTTACCATTATTTTCACAGCAGATTCCGCGTTCAACGAACGCTTACAGGATTATTATCTCTTTCCACCATTTATTTGATGTCGGTAGACATCAAGTGGAACAGTTTATTTCCTCAGGCCTGAAGTTAGTGCTAGTTAGAAGCAAGTGATAATCAGAATAAAATTGTATGAAACCATCTGGGTTGTCGGTTTATTGGTGTGAGATTCCGTAGATACTTCCAAGATACCTTACAAAGGGGTTAAGCTTTCCTAATTGAACGTTAAAGTCGTCTGGTCCTATGACTAAATCTGAACATTTTGCTCTATGATTCAAAAGTGCCAGATTTTGATGGATAATACCCTTGGTATCATCCAAACTGCAGTCGATGGGTGTGTAAGGCGAGATCACAATTGGTCATCGAAAGCATCTCCATCACCCCAGACGAAACACAAAGAGAGAACGAACAATTTTCAAGATGAGAATTTTTTTTCTACCTCAGAGAAGACGATAACAACCCGAAACACATGTGTACATATGCATGGGATGTGACTTTTTACAGGGTTTGAAATACCAACGTATGAAAAGTAAGCGTCAACCAATCAGTAATTTGCCTAGGAAGAGGAGGGGGAAATAATCTGCTGACCTTCGTGTATAGAGGCATGAAAACGGTTATTTCAAATGTGTAAGAAGATAAACAATGATTTATACAAATTTGGGAGCCTCATAACACTTTTTATACATAAACAAGACACAAAGTAATATTTCAAGAATTTAGAAGGTGACAAAACCACTACCAATTATCTTCTACGCCAATGGTACTGATCATTCTGTACCAGGATTGGTCAGTTAAACAAAACACTTTACTACTTGTCACAACTTTTAGGAGGATAGGCAAATGCATGAATTTCTTCTCAATATTCTAGGGCTTCCTAGCAGGAGGATGAACATTTCCACACCAAATTCTATATTGGCATAACGGACCATTGTATATTTTAGCTTGATTCGTTCAAATCTTGCCTTTATCATATTCATCAGGCTTACTCTGCATAGAAGAATGTTGGCTACTGCAGAAAGAAGTGAGGCATAAGAGTCTGCATGGTATTTAAGTAACAGTCTGTCTATAAGTTACACATAAACCCCTTCAGTAAAGTGTTGAACTAAATTATACTGCATCAAATTATTTTGGTCAAATTGACTGCCCATACATACTATAGTTGCATTTAGTTTATTTTCAAATGATTCACTAACTTGGTAACCAAAATATATGATTATCATTAGATCATACCATACATACAGTCGAAAACGCTTTCGTTTAATATTAGGGAAAAAGAAAATTCGATAGCGATTATATGACAGAAGTATTTCAGTTTCCTTCTTGAAAGAACTACTTCAGAAATATCAAAGACATCTTTCACTTTATTGAGAATATTTGAATGTGAATAGTAAGACTACGGCATCCTTTGACGTATCACCTCTATTCACAAATGTCTCTCTGATAGAAACAGTAAACAGTAGAGAGCCGAAAGAGAGAAATATAGAAATTGGGATTGCGTCATCCATCTTGAAAGGGCTTCTGTTACGATGCACAATGTACGATGTACACTTTCTCTTCAACAAGGGATTCTATAGATAGTCAGACGGTGTCATATGAGATTACTACTAGGCCCAGATTTTTTCTAAGTGAAATTAGAAAATGGCCCTCTGGAAAGTATCATAAGTGGGTTAGAATTTTACTACCGTTATGTAGACAGTACATTCTTGATTGTGAATAACTAGAACGATGCAAGGATATCCAGCGATAACCTTCACCATTGAGAGAGAAAGTGACGACAGCATCACCTTCTAAGATATCCCATTGACAAGAAAGGTGGATGGAACTGTAAAAAGAAGTGTATCAGAAACCAACGTCAAAAGGTAAATACACCTATTTCTTGAGCTTCGCTCCCTTGCAATATAAACGAAATCTAGTCAAATATTTGGTCCATCGGGCAAGACTTATCTGTTCCGATGATACTTTTGATGAACAAATTATTCATGATGGATGGATATCCAGAAACGTTTCTAGCTAAAAATATGGACATGTCTAATATAAGAACCAGAGTACCAACAGTCTCCAAAAAACCGTTGTTCCTGTAACTACAATTTTGAGGTGATATCATCCGCGCCTAAGAGATGTCGTAAGATGATTTAATGCCTCAAAGTTATCCTGTGTATTCTACATTTGGTCGATGATGACCACGCAAATCAAAGACAGACTACCTGACTTCGCTTCTTCTATGTGCATTTACCAGTTCAACTGCTTCTGTGGAGCTAGTCACATTAGATGAACAGTTAGGTAAGTCCATCGTGAAGTCACCGAGCATCATCTTTCATAGCTAAGTAAAGGGCAAACCAGATCAATACGAAGCTCAATACTCTTTCATCTGATAGACACTGGTCACCAAGTTAATAGTCATAATGCCTTCAAAGCTATTTATCATATTCCTCCTAATCTCACCCATGCTCTACGAGTTCTTCTTTACATACAGCTGAAGTCATAAAAATCCACCTGAACAAGCCAAGTCTATGTGTTCAAAAGAAATTCCTACAGTCTCTTTCTTTTCCTTGGACTTCCTTATAGCTTATGTATTACAACAACACCCTTCTTTTCATTCATCTCACAAATGATTACAACTTATATTTTAATACCTCGATTATTATTATTGTTATTATTACCGTCAACCATTTACCACTTGATGTAATGGTTCATTTTCGCTTTTTTCCCCGTTAGTTACTATTATACAAAATATCAATTATACAACAACTTGTTTCAAACTTCACAAATCTTTCTACTATAATGAATCTGTGCTTTAGTTAATTTTTTCAATAACCTGATCAATTATAATCTTCTTGATACTTTGTGATTGATAAGCTGTCAGTAAACAACGCTCACCACTAGATTAGTATGTAATTTTACGTTTCAGTGTGGAGCCATTAATAAGGAACCAATTGAAGAGAAATATTTCTTCGTTCATATTTTTTTGTTTTCACTAAAAGATGTAAGATGAATGCACATTTCTTTTTTAACAGTAAATTCTAGAGGGTAGTCTGATGGTGGTGTAGCTATGGAGTCATACCTTGATCGACTCTTTGCAGATTGTTTTTCTTGCAAACTAGAGAATGGTCCTCCGAATGAATCAATTGACCAGTTGGAGTTGTATTGTCGTTACATGGATGATAACGCTATAGTTCTCGAAAATGAGATGGATAATAATATTGTTCTTAGTAAGTTTGGTAGTATTCGCCAGATAATCGAATTCACAACAGAGGAGGAGAGAAATGACAGTATCTCGTTTCTTGACATTCTGTCAGTAAGAAAGCCAGATGGAAATCTGAAACGAAGTATATACAGAAAGCTAACGTCAATACACCAGCACACGCCCTTCTCTAATGCCATATTCCTCCAATACAAGAAGAACTTGTTGAAATGTCTGGCTTGACGTACTACAGTCATTTGCTGTGATGGCGCTACAGAGGAAGAGTTTGCCATCGTCTGTGACCTGTTTAGTGAGAATAGCTATCCAGCATAGTTTGTAACTGAGCATACAAATGCTGTGAAGGTTAAGACAAGAATGCCAATAATCCCTAAGAAGCAAATATTCTTGAAGCTGAGACTAAAGAGCGACATAGCCAGTGAGATCATCACACAACGTATAAAAAGAGTCTGGTAAAAAGCATTCACAGCCGCTAAATTATGCCCCATCTTCTACAACCGCGCGGTTCTATGTACAAGAAATAGAGATGAATTGCCTGATTCTGCTACTTCTATGTGTATTTACCAGTTCAACTGTTCCTGTGGAGTTACTTACATTGGGCGTACACCGTCGAATTTCTGAGCACCACCCATCATGGTTACATAAGGTACAGCTTAAAACAATAAAGAGCTCCATACCTGCACACTTAGTTGACATCAGACATAAAGTGTATCCTACCAATCCATTTAAAATGGCTCATCGTATACCAGTTGATTTACCATATGGAGTATGCATTCGCTTATTTCACATAACAGAGGCGATTACAATCCACCTTTACAAACTTAAACTTTGTATTCAAAAGTAATTTGTTCAACCACTTTCATCACGATGCACGTCAACATGATGTAACTTCTAGTATTTCTTTGCACACGTCTCAATTCCCCTTTGCTGTATCAGTATTTACTTACTTTCTCAGCCTTACGAAATTGTTAATAATTTATAACTGGCCACTGGAGAGGAAAAAACCTACTTCACTCATCTTACCAGTTAATATGCAATTTATCTAAGAATAATCTATCCCATATTATTATTATTTATTATTATTATTATTTATCCTTTGGGTTCCTAGTGGAACATACGGATTCACTAGCACGTCTCCATTCCACTCTCTTCTCTAAAATCCTTTGAACCTGGCTCCATGACAGCCCCAACCTCTCATTTCCTCCTTGCACGATCTCCTCCATGTCACCCCCACCACGAACGCCCAACTCGTTGGTTGGTTCGTTGTCAAGCCAGAGTTCCTTGTTGCTTATTCTTATCATTCTGGCCATCTGATCTTTAGTAACGAGTCAGTGTCTGTAGTTTATTGGAAATACCTTTCGTAACGTGCCAAGTCTCTGAACCATACAGAAGCACTTACTTGACCGAATTGGTGTTGAAAATCTGGATCTTGTTCACGCTTTGTGTTGAGTGCAGAAGATCTCCACACTGGTTTTAGGCTAATGAAAGCCTGTCTTGCTTTTCTGATCTTGGCTGGCTTTGACATCCTCGTCTGTGCCACCTGTAGTTGAAACAGTGCTTCGTACATAGGTGAGAGAGGCTACTTCCTTTAAGTTTCTCCCATTCATCCTGATTAGAGTTTGTTGTTGTTGGTGGTGGTGGTGTTGGTTGGGTATCTTCATCACCTCTGTCTTCTCTATATTCATCTGAACTCCCGTCTTCGCTACCCTGCCTCATCTGACAACTTGTTAGTTTTCTCCTGTAGATCCTCAAGTTTGTGTGACATCAGGCACAAGTCATCGGCAAAATCTTATTCTTCTAGGTTCTTTTCCACGGTTCAGTCAGCGTATCCCCCTCTTCTCGCTCCTCACTGTTTGTTGCATGATCCAGTCGACCACAATCAAGAATATCATGGGTGATAGTAGCATATCACTATGATTACCATTTTTAATCCAGTATAATTACTCTATTGGTTATTCGCTTCTTAATTTCTCAAACTTATCGTCTTCTAGATTTCTCTAAAATCTATAATTATTGTTCATCGATCCTCACCTCTTGATTGGATCGCAAACCGATATATTAATGTAGCGTTGAAGATGAAGATCTAATTGAAAAGGAATATATTTCTTCTCTGATTTAGTCTGTTTTTATTTATTTAGAATCTCTGACTAACCATAAGTTAATTTCTTCGTTATATAGTCCATTACTCAATGTGTTGATCAAATTGAATTTCAATCTATCTGTTTCTTTTTGTTATTTTTAAAGCATGAAGAAAATTTCAGACAATGCTGCTGTATCAATGATTAACTCTATGCAACATCATGAATGTAATGAAGAGAAGTCAGAGAAATTTCTTAATCAATGTACCAGTGTTTTAAGTCAAGAATGTGAGTCGAATGAAAAAGAATACTACTTAATTATATTAGTTAATACTTGTCAAAATTGCCTCAAAGTAGGTCATATGAATATACTAATGATGTTGTCTATGCAGATGGCTTGATATCACTTGAATAAACAATATACTTTTGAGGGGGTTGTGGAGATTTGGAAATATTTCAAGTTGTTATTCATCGAAGACTGACATCAGTTGGAGAAACAAAGGAAACCTGGGAGCACTGGACAGCTGTTTCGTCCTAGTATGGGACTCCTCAGCAGTGAGTCAAAGCCTGATGGCCGTGAGGACAGATACTCAACGATGACATTGGGTGGCGGTTCGCGCTATATCGTGAGCTAACAGGAGTTGGAAATATGGAGCATTTGATTCTGACCCAGTGGCTCAATGGTAACGCGCTGGCCGCGGGACCTGAAGGTCGCGGGTTCGATCCCTGCTGGTGGGGTCGTGGGTGCGCACCACTGAGGAGTCCCATACTAGGACGAAACAGCTGTCAAGTGCTCTCAGGTTTCCTTTGTTCCTCCAACTGATGTCAGTCTTCGATGAATAACAACTTAAACAATATACTGTTAATTTTCTTGATGGCGGCTAACAATGGAACTGAGGATGAACATTTCATTCCATCTGAGATTCATCAGTTCAATGTTTCTTACACTCCAGTCAATGGTGGTTTCTCCACCGAGATTCAAACCCAGTATCGATTGATTTAAATGCCAAAGCGTTAGTCGGTTACTAGTTCACTAAGGCATCAGTGTTATTCATTTTGCAACGGAACAGTACTCTTTTCAAATTGAATCCTGTTCATATATGAAGCCTATCTGAATGGAACACATGATATACTAGTGTACTGTATTTCGAAATAATCTGATCACATGCAAATCCACTTACATCTTTTACATGTAACTGAATTAAGGTCAAACTATTCTAACAAATACAAAAGCGAGAGTAATAGAAGACTAATCAATAAAGAATGATACACTTTAACAGAAACAACCCCTACATAGGTGAACTATATTCAAGACAGTCATAAAGGACTTCGTGTACAAACAGATTGTTTATATGATACATGGGAGTGGCATAATTTTTTACATGACTGAAGTTCAAACAAAGTTAAGTATATGCGCCTACAAACAAATTCTAAGATGTATCGAAATATCAGCCTAAACAACTGGTCCAGTTAGAAATCAGTCAGTCAGCCAACTCAGAGTGATCTAAACGCCGGACGTCCGTTTTGCTCATTTAAGGGCTTAGTTCACCAGAGGTGTACTTGGACAACTACAGCTAACAGAATTGAATAAGTTCAAACCAACTGGATCTGGTTGGTTAACTTGAATGAACCGGTACACCTGAAATGAGATGATCCATCTTACAAATGATTTACCAATTGCACGGTTCACTTTGAAATTTCACACATTGAGTAGTTCCTTCCTACTCAAGTTGTTTAATAGTAGTATATTTTGATTAATCATGATACTTTTATGTCAGGTATCACGTTTTGTATTCTAGGCTGTGTTTGGTTTCCAGAGGAAACCCTGTTGACATTGAAGTTGACTAGCTGGTGAGAAACTATTCAACTATGAGAAATGTCATCGTGGACGGTGCGATTTGCAAAGCATCTATTATTATTTTATTATTTGTCCCTAGGGTTCCTAATGTAACACAGGGCTTCACTAGCACGTCTCTAGTGAACTCTCTTCTCTGCAAACTTTTGAACCTGGCTCCACGACTGCTCAGTAGCTCTCATTTCTTCCTCACACGATCTCCTCCACGTCACCTTTGCCTCGGACACCCAACTCGTCGTTTCCCATCTAGGTTCCACTCGAGTGACTGGCGCATGATGTCCCCAAATGGTCTTCTGAGTGCATTCCCAATCCATCTCCACTTCCTTCCAGTGCATATTTGTTGAGTGATAGGTTCTTGGTTGGTTCGTTGCCAGAGTTATTTGGCAACGAACCAAATCATTTACAGATTGGGAATTCCTAGGATGACTATTCCAAATTCGTCTTGAAATTGTCCTCATATGACTTTCAATTGTACATTTAACAAGATATAATTTTGTGATAATCAATTACAATTCTATGAGCAATATGTTTGGCAATGCGTCTGCCACCCACATGCATATACATGTAGTAGGTCTCATCATGTATCTATGTGGTTTGTAAGAAAGCTTGAGCTGTGTTTTCTGATTGAATAACGGTCATATAACACTGAAATAGATTGGTAAACTTTCACAAGTATCTGCTGTGTGGCAATGTTTCTGGTGATAACTAGAACTTTATCGCCTGGAATAAAATCCAGTGAGTTCCATTAAATAAGCATTCTATCGAGTAGTTTTTATACATTGTTCCAGAAAAATTCAATAATGGATGGGGGTGGGTGGGGTTAGTGTTAATAGAAACATGGTTTTGTGATACCAATATTTATCAATTGTTCAATAATTTAGTGACACATAATCGTGATACATTCAACAACCTTGTGCACATTCTTACAGTAGGCAACGATCCACGTCTGTTGCATAAAAGCAATTTTTACTCCTCAAACTTTTGTAGGTGTAGGGTGGTCGAACCCCATGACCCACTGGTTGAAAGTTGACTCCTTAAACCAATGAGCTTTAAATGACTACAAATTTCCAAAAAAAAACTTGAGTATTAGAAGTTAGAGATCTGCATTTAGATGGTGTCATACATATTAGGGATTGGCCTTATGCTCTACTCTAATAATGACTGAAGTTAATTAAATCCCTAATTTTATGCGAAAAGTATCTTCCTGGTGAAATTGGGAACCGTAATTTGTTATTTCAGTAGTTATCAGTTTGATCATCTGAGATAGGCATGGTTTGTCTGACTTGTACTAACTCTGGGTGATGATTGAAGGGGAAACGAAAACCTGGGTCATAGTAGGATGCATACCAGTGACTTCCCTGTTTACTGTCCATTGGTCTATCAACTTAGCTAGCAGGCATGAAGGTTGTTTGGATGGACTTTAAAGTTATTTCATATTGGAGATAATCAGTAGAAATTCCTGGACCCTGGTTTTATGCTGTTTGGCACTTATCAGCAAGGCGTATCTTCAACCTCGAGCTAGCTGATGTCCACTGATGAGATTTGAACCCGCACCATCTTGTGTTGTAGTTAGCGACATTACCTGTCAGCTATTCGGACTACGACTGACCTAGTTCCAGGACTTCCTACTTATTGCCTCCAATCGACTAACATCTATCTAGGTGCATCACGACGGTCAGCCTCTTAGCTTGGTGGCCACACTGCAAAATAATTGATAGAATCCAGAACTAGACAATATGAGATTGATTGTTCTGCAGTAATCATCAATGTATTATCAATGGTATCCATAACTGTAGAGTACGTGAAGGCGATGAACCAAGTGAATTTGATCAGTTGAAAAGTATTAGTATTTTGGACACTAAGTCGTTGACAAGAAGTTCATATGATTTCTGATGTGAAACATATTCAGTCTATAGTTTAGAGTACACTAATATAAGTGAAAAACTTGGGCACTGTGGTAGAATGTAGTTCCATATTAGATTTGTTTATTTGATATAAAGCGCACAGTGATACAGTATTATTTAATTGATTACGTTTCGAGCATAAATTATTACTGCATATCAGTGTATTCACACTTCTTTCGATTTCTGATTTTATAGTTCTGTCACCTGATCTCTCCTTGTTTTTTGATTGGTAGTAAAGTTTTCCATATCTCTGGTATAGGTGTTGCGTCATTCCTATTCCACATGTGTTGGGTGTGGATTCGATGAACAAAGATTCAATAATTAATCTCCCTCTCTCTCCACCTAGCTATATTAGACTTAAGTACAGTGGTTTTGTCCCACCCTATTGTGTGGTTGTGTGTTAATGAATGTAATGCAAATGCCGAGTGTTTTTCTAGGTTATTGATTTTATTGGGGTCTGCCGTTCTATGTTTAGCTAAATTCCTATGTTCTGTTAATCTAACTGACCCCGACCGGCTAGTTTGACAAAGAGAGATCAGGTGACAGGACTATAAAATCAGAAGTCGAAAGAAGTGTGATTACATTGATATGATTATGAGCAATAATTTATGCTCGAAACGTAATCAATTAAATAATACTATATCACTGTGCGAAGCAAGATTAACGGCTTCTGTCTAGTTAGTTATTTGAGTTGCACACCGAAAACTATATCTTCATGTTCTGTTAAACATGTTGTTCCAAAGCAGCAATCAAATTTACCAATACTGACATACCGTCTCCTTTGGTAAACTGAAAACATCATTTCGAACTCATCAAACCTCCTCTATAATAAACTGAAGACTGAATAGTGTGGCAAAAGGCACATCGCTTATTCTCATTGGCATATATATGATGATCATGTGAATTAATGAAGGTTTCAAGGCGAACGCGTTAACCAGTCAACCACTGGGTTGGATTTCAGTGGTTCACACTTTCCAATTTCTGTCAGTTTGCGATAGACCGTGACTACCACCCAAGGTCGTCAGTTGGGATCTCCTTCCCTTCCACAGGTCCCAGCTTCTCATCAGAATTTCAGGATATCCATCTCCAAGCATGAGCAAAATACAGTAATGTATTTTCAGATAGTATTCGTCACAGCCTGGTAGATATCCTGAAGTTCTAATGAGAAGCTATGAACTTTGGGGTCTGTCAGTCGGAAAGGAAACAGATGTCAACTGAAGATCTTGGGTGATAGCCAAACTATGTCGTGAATTGACAGAAACTGGAAACTGTGAACGATTGAACTCCGACCCTGTAGCTTGATGGTTAACGAATTCGTTGTAAAACCTGAAAGTCTTGAGTTCGATCCCCGAGGGAGTGATGTTGTGGGTGCGTACTGCTGATGAGTTCTATGCTAGGACGAAACAGCTGTCTAGTGCTCCCAGGTTTTAAATGGTTCTCTAAATGATGTCAGTGCGTGGTGAATACCATCTCAGAATTGCTTTACAGATATCTCTATTATCGGTCATCACTTACCCTAATATAAAACTTATTCTATTTCGTTATTGTATTTACATTATTTCCATTCTATTGGTTCTCATTCATCCTATAAAATCTGCACTTTTTCTTATTGTTAAATTCCAGACAAAGAGATTATCTTTTAACTTATTTGTCCAATATTTCATCTGACTGTCTTGTTCTGCATCTCGTAGCTCAGCAGGTGGAGCAGAAAACGACAAGACGGAGACGATGGAAGGAATGTTTATTATTGACATCCTGTACAGTAGTCATCAAATATTGTACATCGTCCACTAAGACAGTTATTTGCAAAATGTGCTTCATTTTCTCTTCTGCTTCCATCTTGATTTGCTCCTAAAACGCCCGCATTTTCTCTTTCATTTATCTGAGCAGAATCATTACCCATTGCTGGTAATCACCTATGATTTCTACCGGCCTCTCAACATACACTACTTATATCCATTCTTATCAGCAACACCCACTACAGTAGTAGTATCATTAGCTTTCATACATAAGGTATAGAGTTCATTGCCTACTGCACGAATGTGCACAAGTTTGCTGAGATCATTCCAATTTTTTTCCGATCAAGAGTGAGGTAAACGTTGTTCTATGACAGAAGGTAATAATTTGAATAAAGTGCTGACATTTTGTGGGCTATAAAAGTAGAAACTATCGAAGAATGATACATCAATCGTATACTAATTCAATGAGGATGACCAACGTCGTATCACTAGGCATAAGAAATGATAAATATTAGTTGGAGGGAGGTAAACCACAAGTTTTGTGGTTGTTGGCACTCGCTATCAAGGTCTATCTGAAACCTCAATGGAACTGATGTCCACCTGAGATTCGAATCCACGTGATCAAGTGTTGAAGTCAGAGACGTTTAGACTTAGTTTTTTATTCGCTTTACGACTGACCTCTTGTAGAATTGGATTAGGTACATTGATTGGTCACTAGAAGGTGACCAACATCATGTTGTCCAGTCGTGAGTGCTGATCGAATTCTACTGGTCACTATCAACCAAAATGGAAGTTTCATCTCAATCAGAAGGCTGTATGTTCAGGTCAGTCATGCTGGGCTCAAAATAATTTCATTTAATCCAGAGAAAAGGTTCTGGTGCTCATTTACCTCCTCAAATTGTTACTACTCCATCGGTTATTGAGAAGATGGTATTACTTGAGTATCCTGATATCTGGTGTCACTTAACTACTTTGAATCTCAATTTTAAGGTTTGTGGTGAGTTATTCACTGATTTCAGGTTGTTACTCACCATTGAATGACATAAGTTTGAGAATCATTGGAAACCTGGGGGCAATGGAAAACCGTTTCGTTCTAGTTCGAAACTTCTCTGTGAAGTCCATCCATAACCCCACCGGGGATCAAACCCAGGACTTTTAGGTTTCACGGCCAGCACGTTATCATTGAGTCAGTGAACCATATTTCCTACTTCTGTGGGTTCAAGATGTAGCTTGACCTCCATCCAATGCTATCACTGAGTAACTGTCCTGATGTTCGACTTGGTTAACCTCACTGGTCGCCAGTTCACAACGGAACTTCGGAAATCTCTCTTTTTTACTGGTGAACATACTTTTAAGGATACATCTCATAGAAGAAACTTGTATGGATGATTGTAGACGTCTATATACCCCGAGTAGTAGTCCCATTGGCTGTCTTGTCATACAGTATCACATACATTCACCTCAGTTATCACTTTACTAAATATTTAGGGATAACATGAAACATACTGTTCACAATTTCTTTATTTTCACTTAATTTTATTCTTTGTTAAATGTATTAAGGTGCAAAAATTGAGCAACAACCAGATTCAGTATCATCTATTGACGTCTTAAGAGCACGACTATTGCAGGCACTTCAAGCTTTACAGAAAGAACATACTGCATATGAAGAGTTGGAAGCAGTAAGAGATGCATGTGAAGCACGCATAAGAGAAATGAATTTACAGAATATTAATCTTTTATCTCATATGTGTACTGATCAAAAAGCAAATGACGTAATCAGTACAAACGAAATTGCAATGAATGTGGAATTGCGTAACCAACTAGATAGATTAAAGTAAGTATTATCCTAACAACGGTACGAAAACTTCTTAGATCTATTTCAAGGTAGTATACGTCACGGTCTGGCATTAGTTGGTGAACTTCTGGAAACCTTAGGGTACTGGACAGCTGTTTCTTCCTAGTATTAGCCTCATGTTATAGCTTTTCTACGTTGTTCTAGTCGAAGCTGTTCTTGTGCTTACCTACATGTATCAGTGACGATACACCATGCTGTTTCATGACCAGCTGATGGTCATAAGTCATCTGTTTGACCACGGTATTGATGTTGACAGTATGTTCAGATAATTTAGGCAATCAGCAGATATTTAGAAATCAACCTAGTATACTGACTGTCAAGGGAGAACTAACCAACTAGAAATCATTCAACCAAATCAGTAATCAGACATTAAGTAATTACCACAGGATAAATGCTTACACTAGTTACCAAGGTCAATATATGGTAGAAAAATATCATCCCTATCCACAGCCTCATAACGTTCAAGTTCTGCGAAGATTATACATAAACATTCATGAAAGTTACAAATGCTTAAATTCTTTAGAAAATAAATGTTGATTAAATCACCTAGCCTGTTAATGAAACTGTGAAGAAAAAAACCAGCTGAGCTCAGAGAACACTGACTAGTTGTTATTATTAAATATTCCATCAAAGATTATAGAAGTTCTAACATCCTTTCATCAGATCGATCAAAGTATCTTACGATTAAAGTCGATAGCTGAGAAATTAAACAAAAGCTAGGTCACCTCCATTAATCCACCTGTTGCGTAATCAAACAGAAATAACAATAGTGGATACTTTTGTAGAAAACTAATGACTTTATTTATTGAAGATCATAATCCTCTAAGTTAGTTAACATGATGAATGTGTCTGCATGTCAACGCCTTTTAATATCCAGTGTAGGCGTTTGACGTTCCGTAAAAATTTACGAGTCATCATAAAATCGTCCATTTTGGCAGCTTGAACGGTTCGTTTAGGACAGAAGATGTAGCTATTGTTTAAGATCTTGTATTATAACTTAGCTTCAATTGGTGTTATCTTAAAAAGTCAGTGGCTGAGTGACATCAAAAAAAGTTTAGTTTATCTGGTTGAAGTTCTTCAGATTTTAAGGGTCATCAGTTAGTTGACTTGAGCAATATGACTCAGTATGAATGTTTTGATTACTTAACGATCTTTTGTATATCTCTTACTTCATCTTTGTATTTGTTTTATAATCTCTTGGTTTGTAATGTGTTTTGTATCATACTGTTACCAATTGAATAGATATGAGTTTTTATTTTGACAATTCCATGTTTACTTATCACTGCTGAGTTTCCTTTTGAATTAAGCTTCAACTTGAAGAATCTGTCTGGCGCGGAATCATGTTCTTTTCCACCCCAAGCAAAATGTTAAGCCGCATCATCCGGGAGAGAGTAAAAAATGCTCTGCATTCAAAACTACGATCGAAACAGGCTGACTTCAGGAAAAACAAATCATGTGCAGATCAAATTGCAACGTTACGCTACGCATCATCATAGAACAGAGCACACAATAGCAGTCAACTCTCTACCTCAATTTCATCGACTTTGAAGAGGCCTTCGATAGCGTCGACCGAGAAGTAAGTTGGCAGCTCCTTCAACGCTACGGTTTTAGTGTCAGAAATCTTTATCAACCTCATTCAACAGCAGCTACATGCTCTATGATGCTATATGCTAAGTAATTCACAATGGAAAGCCCAGTGATGCCTTTAAAGTGAAGACAGGAGATAGGAGTAAGACAAGGCTGCCTACTATCACCGATGATCTTCCTGATTGTAGTGGATTGGACTGGGTCATGCAACAAATTGTGAGGAGCGAGAAGACGGGCATATGCTGTTTGACGGATGAAAAGACCCTAGAGGATTTGGCTTTCGCCAATGATGACTTATGTCTAGTGTCACACAAACTAGAAGATCTACAGATGAAAACTAACAACTAGGTAGAAACAGGCTAGGCAGCGAAGATGTGAATTCCTTCAGGCAAATGTATAGAAGACACAGGTGATGAAGATACCTAACCAACAACAACAACAAACACCTACCACCATCAACATGAGAAATCTCAACGGATTTGTCTCTTTCACCTACCTACCTACCTAAATAGCCAGCAGCGTTCCAACTACAGATGACAAGCACAGATGAGGATGTCAAAAACAGGACAGAAAAGACAGCAAGACAGGCCTTTACCAATCTGAAATGATCAGTGTGGAGATCTACTGCACTGCACTGGACTCAGCATAAAGTGCGAACAATATCCGGATTTTCAACACTAATTCAGTCAAGTATGTCTGCTTCTATATGATGGTTGGGAGACTTGGCGCCTTACGAAAAGCATTTCCAACAAAGTGATGACATACACCCACGGCTGCCGCCTACGCTCGCTTACTCTGTGCTGAAGATGGAGATCAGATGGCCAGAATAATAAGAATAAGCAAGGAGAAGCTCTGGCCTAGCAACGAGCCAATTAACAACCTTTCGCCAAACAAATATGCAGAAGGAAGTGGAGATGGATTAGATTGGACATAGACTGAGAAAACGGTTTGGGGATATCACGTGCCAGGCCATTCCAATCCAGACTAGGCCATCGAGTGGAAGCCACATGGGAAACGATGAGTTGGGCAACCTAGCTGAGAGTAATATGGATGAGATGGTGTGAGAACACAATACAACCAAGAACATCCACCTCAGCTACAAATACTCTCCACTATATCGGCAACTTTCTCACATATGTTAATTCAGTAGTAGACTCAATCCTATTGCATTATTAGGAGGTGGAAAATGAACAGGGAGAAGTACCTATGTTGGATTGTAGAATAAAACGAAGGATGGATGGTGGTGTGCATATATATATATATATATATATATATATATATATATATATTCTAACAGGTATCTAGACTTCAAGTCATCTCATCCAATATCAGTTAGTTAAGGCGGGTTTAGTCAAATGTCTAAATGATACTGCTAGAAAACTGACTAGTAGGTGCAAACACCTAAACAAGGAACTGAAACACATAAAAGAAGCGTAAATAGTTAATAATTATCCTCCACAGTTTAGTAGAAAGTTCGCACGAACATACAAGAAAAGAAAAAGTAACAGTAACAAGCGTTAGAATAACAACGATAACATGAGTAGTAAGGAGTTACCCTATAAGAAAGGAACACCAGAAACCTCATGTAGGATTTTCAACAAAGCTGTAATTAGAGTGGGATTTAAACCTACAACATCATTCAGGGACAAGCTTTATCGGCTGTCTTAAGGACCCAATAGATCCAACTGAGCGAAATAATCTAATCTATCAAATCCCATGTAATGACTGTGAGGTCAAACTAGCTGGTTAGGGTCAGTTAGATTTATGGTACATAGAAATTTTGCTAAATATAGATCAAAAATCTGGAAAAAAAACCTCGGCTATTACAATTTATACATTAAAACACAAACACAGAATAGGCTGTGTGAGATAAAGCCCACTGTACTGAAGTTCAATATAATTGGGTAGGATATTGAGAAAGATTGATTACTGAATCTTTGATCGTCGAATCAAAACGTCACACATGTAATAAGAAAGATGCAACACCTATACCAGAGATATGGAAAACTTTGCTACCAATAAGAGCAAAGAATGTGAGGTGGGTGACAGGACTATAAAAAACAGATGTTGAATGTAGTGTGATTATACTGTGATATGATTATGACGAATAATTTATGCCTCGAAGCGTCATCCAATAAATAATACTTTATCACTGTGCGCTATACATCAAATTAACAAGTCTAATATGGAATTATTTATTGCTGCTGAAATCGTGGTTGTATATCATATCTTTGTGTATAAAGCATAAAAGTATTTGTTGATTTATCAACCCCCCTGTACCGTTATGCAGATTGAGTTCTTCCTAGAATCAACTGAATGTATTCACTATGTGAAGGGTCTTGCTTTTGGTGTCTGTGCCAATCTTCACTAGTAGTATGGTTAACATTCATCTTCATAAGGATTTACGTAAATAACCACTAAACCTATACAATAGTTTGATCATTCACAGTCTTGTTTACAATTGTATGCTAAATGTTATCTCATCAACCGATATCTTAGTTCTGTGAGTAAGTTCCGAGTCAATATTTAGCGCTGAACCACTTCAATCTCTTATAAACTGTCAATGTGTAAATAGTCTACAACTCAGGATCTCTTCTATATCATAAAATGTGTATTGTTGTTGTAGAACTTTCAAGGGAATAATTGTAACTGTTGTTTAATGGGATAATGACAATCGATATACAAGATACATTCTTCATTGCCTTTCATTTCAGATTTGAACTGATCGAGAAGAAAGAGCAAAGTGAATATTTCGAGAGAGAGTTGAAAAATATTAATGAATATTATTGTAAACTAAATGATCAGTTGATCAAGTGAGTTTTGAAGATTTGTCATAACCCATGTATAATTCACTTGTTATCCTTCGTTCCGGAACAGGCAGGCTTCAGGAAGTATAAATCATGTACAGACCAAATTGCAACGCTTCGCATCATCATAGGACAGAGCATAGAATGACAATCAGCTCTACCTCAACTTCATCGACTTTGAGAAGGCCTTTGACAGCGTCGACCGAGAAGTAATTTGGAAACTGCTTCACTACTACGGAGTACCTCAAACCCTTATCCGCCTCATTCAACAACTATAAGAAGACACCACATGCCAGCCAAGTAATTCACAATGGGAAGCTCAGTGATGCTTATGAAGTGAAGACAGCAGTGAAACAAGGTTGCCTACCATCCCCCATGATATTCCTGATTGTGGCGGACTGGATCATGCAACAAACAGTAGGCAGCGATAAGAGGGGGATACGCTGGTTGGACTGCGGAAAAGAACCTAGAAGACTTGGATTTCGCCAGTGATGACTTGTGCCTGATGTCACATAAACTTGAAGATCTGCAGGCAAAAACTAACAAGTTGATAGAAGAGGCAGCGAAGACGGGACTTCAGATGAATATAGAGAAGACAGAAGTGATGAAGATACCCAACCAACACCACCACCAACAACAACAACAAGCTCCAATCACCATCAACGGGAGAAACTTAAAGGAAGTAACCTCCTTCACTTATCTAGGAAGCACTGTTTCAACTACAGGTGGGACGGACGAGGATGTCAAAGTCAGAATCGGAAAAGCAAGACAGGCGTTCATTAGCCTGAAACCAGTGTGGAGATCTTCTGCACTCAGCATGCGGAACAAGATACGGATTTCCAACACCAACGTCAAGTCAGTGCTTCTGTATGGTTCAGAGACTTGGCACGTCACGAAAGGTATTTCCAATAAACTACAGACATTCATCAACAACTGCTTACGCTGGCTTGTTACTGAAGATCAGATGGATTGCCAGAAAGAATAAGCAACAAGGAGCTCTGGGAACGAACCAACGAAGCAAGAACCTATCACGCAACAAATATGCAGAAGGAAGTGGAGATGGATTGGGCATACACTGAGAAAGCCGACTGAGGACATCACGCGTCAGGCCAGTTACTCGAGTGGAATCCCCATGGGGAGCGACGAGTTGGGTGTCCGAGGTGAGGGTGACATGGAGGAGGTCGTGCGAGGAGGAAATGAGAGGTTGTGGGCTGTCGTGGGACCAGGTTCAAAAGATCTCAGAGAACAGAGTTCACTGGAGACGTGCTACTGAAGCCCTATGTTCCACTAGGAACCCAAGGGACTAATAATGATAATAATAATAATAATAATAACGTTTCTAAATTTCAATAAAACTTCAGATAGATCTCATACTCATCATCTTGAAGGTCATGATTCCGATTACTGTTACAGTGAAGTAGTACTGCTGAACAGTTGTATACTAGAACGGAACAATGATGAACTGTTGCCATGCTTTCAATGGTTATCCAAATGATGCTAATTAATGATTTTGCAGGATCATTTTTTAGTCTTATGTATTCATTTTTATGATAAGTTGGTGATGATTTAATGAGATCAACCTAATGTTTTATTCTATAATGTTTAGATCACAAAAGATTTTTTGAATCAACGAAGTTGATTATTTTGTTCAGCTAACAACTGTAAGATTATTTTATCATATCTAAAAGCTCTTTAAAAATGTATCTTATTATAATTGTTCACTATTGTTTACATGTATCTATTGTTTATCCCTTATATAATCTACTAATTTTAGATCTGAGAATGAAAAAGAGGATTTGATGATTCAAGTCAACCAATTGATGCATCGTTTAAAATATTACAATCAGAAAACACTAAGGTAGGATTATAAAAAATTCATCGAAATAAAATCAAGTCAAGATAAGTAATAAAAGGATTGATTAGTTTGAGAACTAAACACAAGTTTCTAATGGTGTTATTGTATCGATTCAATTCCAAGTTATTGAAACATTATACGCTACTTGTTGTACTGAAAGGTGTTCAACGATTACTTCCATTACTATGTAAGGTTAATCGAAGTGAAGACAACAGTGAACTTTATCATAAAACTCGATTTGGATATCTTTGTTCACTTGACTCCATTATTTAAGAGAGTACTAAAGGGCTCTATTCGTCTGTTTATTAGAAATGTCTCAGTATCATTTACTGGATAACATTTCAGACACAATTAATTGTCCAGATTTTATTTCAGGTAACTCCACAACACTGAGACAGAGTTTATATAGTCTTAATTTTCTCTCCGTCTTTGTGACCACAAGGGTAGTGGAGTCTTCCATATATCTGGGATAGGTGCACAACCATTTCTATTACTGTATGTATTTGATATTTATCCGACAATCAGAGATTCAGTTATCAGTTTCTTTCTCCACTTAACTAAGTTGGTTTTGAATACTGTCGCTCTAACCCATCCACCCTACTGTGTGGTTAAGTGTAATTGCATGCAGAGCTACAGCCCAGTCACTCTCTAAATTTCTCATCTTATTAGAATCTACTAATCTTGAGGTAGCTAAGATTTTGTTCGCTGTTATTCTAATCGACCCTAGTCAACTACTTTGACCTTTGTATTTAACCTCGCAATCATTGTAAGGGATTTGGTAAACCAGATTATTTTGCTTAATTGCATCGACAGGATCTTTTAGCCTACGAAGCTTATTTCTAAGCAAATCTGTTGGTTCAAATGCTAGCCACTTTAATCCCAGCAGCCTTATTGAGAGTTCTTCGTAAAGCTTCTGAGGTGCCTTCTTTGTATGGTGACAGCAAAGGCTTTAAATTTCTCTCTCCTAAACCAAAAACTTACTTAGAAACAATTTTTTTGCTTAAAAGTTCCCATTGGTCCGATTACTCAAAATAACTTAGTTTACCAATTCCCTTGCAACAATTGTGAGGTGAAACGCAGAGCTCGAAGTAGTCGGAAAGGGTCAATTAGGCTATTATTGCACAAAAACCTAGTTAGGTCAAAATTGGAAGATCCTAGTAAGGAAAATGACAAAAGCTTGGTCAAAGCTTTGCACGCCAGTGCTCACAATCACGCAGTAGGGTGGGGATAGTGCGACAGCGTTAAAAACTTACTTGAGTGGAGGGAGGGAGAGACTGATAACCGAATTTTCGTTTGTCGAATCAACATCAAATACATGCAGTAATAGAAATGATTCTGCACCTATCCCAGATATATGGAAAATTCTACTATCCCTGCCATCACAAAGAAAATTAGGATTATATAAACTCTGTTTCAGTGTTGTGGAGTTACCTGAAATGAATCTGGACAATTAATTGTGTCTGATACGTTATCCAGTAAATGATACAGTTTCTCCACTGTTACATTTCTAATAAGCAGACTAAAATGAAATTGTGATCTAAATCGGAGCCCAACTTCTGCCTCCATAGTACTGTAGGATATTTTATAATTTGGTTCACTTGTTGTTTTCCTTCTGCATATAAGCGATCAAACTACATAAGGACATTATAACAGACTAGTGGTAAACGAACACTTCGCATCAATTAGCTAGAATCTGTGGTCATGAAAAGAAAGAGGTTTTAGTAATGGAAATGTGAACAATATTCATTTTCTTGAAAGGTCTTAAAGAAAGCAGTGGCCGAGTAGATTTCGTAGGATAGCAGGATACCTGATAAAACCTAATTTTGCAATCTTACCTCATAACTATTAGCTTTCAACTCAGAGCTGTAGGTAATAGTATATGTGGATTTCACAAGAAAATTTATTTCTAGGTCAATCTATTTAGTTTTGTTTTCATGTTTTATGATGCAACTTTTGAAGTAGTATACTACTACTAAACAACTTGAGTAGTTAGAAACCACTGACACTGCTCTGTAGATTTTTGCTAACTAGCCAGATCTAGACACTGGACGTCTTTTTCACTCGTTTGAGGCCTAGGTCGTCAGCGTTTTTGAATGGAACGAAACGCACTCAACCGTCTTGTGCACATCTCTGGAGTGGGTGATAAGCCACACATATGACCTCAGGGTTAGTGATACTAACTGGCCACCCAGACCTCGGTAGGTGAGATGGGCCTTGAATACATGAAACACCAGCTGGTAGTCATCTTCCTAGACCACTTAGCCACAGCGCCCTATTTTCAAAGACATATATATATATATATATATATATATATATATGCTACGTAACTTCCCCCTCCCATACAATTTTTCTTTACCTTCGACCAGAAATTACTATAGAAAGTTTGATACTGTTTGTATCACATATTCATAAATGTGGAGCTAGGAGAATGATTTCATCGAAAACGAAAATTCTTCAAACTGGAAGCTTGCGGAGATTTGTTTAAGTTGGTATTCATCATGGACTGGTATCAGTTGAAGAACTCTTGAGAATCTGAGAGCATTGAATAACCATTTCATTCTAGTATGGGACTCCTCAGTAGTACGCAACCGTGACCCTCTTTCACCAGGCATCGAAAGTCAGACCTCCTGTGATAAGCACGCTACTGTAGATCCATAGGAGTTCAATAGTCTACATTTTCCGAAATCTCTCACTTCACGATATAGTGGGACCTCCATCCAGTGCGTCATGCTTGGCTTGGTTTATCTCACCGGTTACGACTTCTTATTGGAACTTCGGGAATCTCATTTCGCTACAACAGTGGTCTATCTTTTTGTATGATCAAATTATAACTGTATTGTAACATATTTCGTATTGAACAAATACTGAGAAGGAATAGGGAGCTTAAAGTGTGAGTTTTGAACTTACTACATTTAGTAGTAAAGAATATAAGTAACTTCCGAAAAAATTAGGTTGCTTCATTAACTGAAATTCACATCATTAAACTTAACGATTACTTACTTTCTCAGTTATCTATTCAGTTAGCCTTTCTAAACATAATGAATTTATTTACAACCATAGACTGCTCACCGAATTAGGAAAGGTGTGACTAATTTTGAGGTATATTACTGGCATGTTACACGTAACTGTCAGTCTTTAAATTTCGATGAACTTAATCACTAGATCATTTTTAAGTATCAAAGGATATCAACAAAGGCCCAGTAGATAACAATTCGGCGTTTGAAGCGGTGGATATTGGGTTCTAGTCTCACTGGCTATATCATCACTCATTGGGGTCCAAGTGCCTCCAGCTGACGAGTTTCAAACAAGACGAATATTCAGGTAGTATCGAAGCATCTCCGAAGGAGCTAATAGGTGTCAATCTGTTCGGTTCAGTATTACAACACAGAATTACAAGTATCAACAGACTGAAGACAATACAGCGAAGAAAAATTTTTTTAGACGAATCATTTTCACAAACTACGTTGTAGTCATAGTTACAACAATATATATATATATATATCCATCAATGTCTAATGCGTCAATACAGGGTCATAAGAAACGGTAAGGTTACAACGTCATAACGGTCGGAAGGTTAAATCAAGGTCATCAAAACTGTTATAGGAGTATGGTAAATAAACAAGGAAATGAATAAACTGTCTTATTTACCATAAACCTATGAGCAATTTTCGATGACCTTGATTTAACCTTCTAGCCATTATGACCTTATGATCTTACTGACCATTTTTGATGACCTTGTAACAACTCATCAGCCATTGGTGGATATATTTATCGTGTCGTAACTACGATTACAATGTACAGCCTTTGAAAATGACTCGTCAAAAAGAAAATTTTCTTCACTGAATTGTCTTTTATTAATTTTCATTATCTAACGAGACTAATTCGATTGTTATCAGCAATCAATTGAAAACACTGGATAGCTGTTTTGTACTAGTGAAGGACACGTCAGCAGTGCACACGCATGAAACTGCTTTGTCATGGATTAAACCCATGGTCTTTAGGTTTCTCAGGAACCACATTAATATTGAACTACTTGGTCAGAGTTCAGTGGTCCATGATGAATCTCAACTTGAAATTAAAATCACTATTGAAAACATTACCTTACAGTAGTAAATAACGAATACAGAAAGAAGTAGTATTCACCATGGACTGACATCAGTAGGGGAACCATTGAAAATCTGGGAGCACTGGACACCTGCTTCCAAATTAAAAATCCCCATTCATCTCGAAAATACGTCAATACAGAAAGTTTTAGAGCATCAGTTTTATCAGTGATCAGAGTTTTTCAGTAGGTTCACCTATCCTATCAAAAAGGCAGTATGTAAATAGTGGTTATTAATGCCTAATTTCCAACTTATTAATGGGTCAACTTTTTTTACAGAGATGAACCTAGTGTTAGTAAAAGTACACCGAAGAATGAGATGCAATTCGCACTACACTTAATGACTACTTCTGACTAACTCTCCTCCATAAACTAATGATAAGCTTCGGCTTCAGCTTGTATTTTCCAGCTTACAGATTGGAAGCCTGAACATACTTAACCGTGTATTAAATCATAGTGCCACCTATATACAAAAAATTACTCCATAACTGGTCTCCAGTGGTCCCCTGTCTAACAGTAGGGAGTGAGGTGGCTGAGCGTGTTGGCCACTTTACTTACCTAGGAAGTTCAATCAACCCTGATAGGTTAGGGGCCGACGAAATGTCAATATTGATAAAAAAAAAGGCCCCGATAGCTTTAACCAACTTACACCAATTATAGCGTCGCTTTGATGTTCGATTGTTTATTAAGGGTATAGTGTGCTGCGCTTCAGTTTGCTTTGTTCTACTGTTTGGCTGTGTAACATGGCCATTAAATTTAGGGAAACATAAGAAGGCTTCATGTATTTGACAATCATTGCCTTCGTAGCATAGCCTGTGTGTCGTGAAGTGACCGGATCAGTAACGTAAATGTTAGGTGTACAGCTTTAGGAAAAAGAGGGGAAAGTCACTTGATGAAGTTGTGAACCTTCATCGACTAAGATGGCTGGGATATATGTTATACATGTTCAGTCACTGTTTGCCTCATCACACATCAGCCGAAGTAAGTTCAAGCTAGAGAAAGGCTCAAGATAGCTAGACTAAAACATGACATCAATGCATGAAGTCTTTGACTCCTGATCTGACCCAATGATGGGAGATGCAGACTTCCTGGTTGGCGTCCACATAACAATAAAAACCACTGGTTGAAGACTGTAGGTGATATAGCTCGGAACCGATGTCAGATGTATCTGCACATTATCTTAATGGTTATACTGAATTCGATATTTGCTCATCCCTCCTTCGTCTCCTTTACTGCTTTCTCCTGCTTTCGAGCGATTTTTTTTTCTTTCTTACTCCATCTTTCATCTTACTACGTTTTCATATAACGTGCTGATATGGGAATTTTGACCACTATTCAGTAATGCGTAGTCTTATGTTATTATTCATGGTGATGTTAAGAGAGTTGAAGTAAGGTATCAGGCAATAATAATGTACCACGATACGTTTAGTAATATTATAATGCATCATAGGACTTTTGTGTATATTTTAGTACAACAACTCAGGACAGATAAGAAGCTGATTTTCCTTGCGAAATCAAATTTCTTCCTCAATTGATACTTATTTGTTACTTACTGCTTTGTTTTTTACACCAAGATGGAAGAAGTCAATGAAAAGCTGGAGAAAGATATCGCACAACATAGTAAAACACAAGAAAAATTCAAGAAAATGAAGGTAATGTATCATTTAAGTTTTTGTTGCAGTTACAACATTGGGACAATGAAATTATCATTTTATTCATGTTCTTTTGGCAATGGTATATTTAAAAGCGTGTTATGAATTGGTTCTAAATAAACAAAACCCCTAACTGGTTCCCTATTTTATTGCATGTAGCATCACAATATCACAGTGGCCTGCTTGAACCTTGGGCTACTAAATTTATCTATCGAACATTTTTCATTGAATTATTTCTATTCAATTTGTTTTAATCAGTTAAATATGTCTGTCCTTTGAATGTATCATGTACTCTTGCACATTTTTAAACTGTTTCCAACCCTATGTTTCTTGAGTCAACAACAAAGCAGAGGTTAAAATGTTACGTCATATGGAAATGAACTTTATGATGCAGAAAAGTACATCATATGTCTATCCGTTGTAGATATTCGGACCATCTGAATGAACCACCACCGCTAAAATTACGCTTGCATTTCTATTGATTCAACATTATGAACCGGACGCCCATCTAGAACCAGTTGGCTATTTCACATTATTATTACCTGTTATTATTAACATTATGCATATACAATGACTGTTTCGTCTGGGAGTAAATTTGTTGAAAAATTACCTGTTGAGAATTCCATACATTGTTTGGAATAAAGCGATTATTATTATTATATACTTTGGCTGTATCTCAGAAGTATTTGTCTTGGTTTCACATTCAGCATTTGTAACTTCGTCAACATTGAAAGTTAACCAGGTATCGAGACAATGTTGGGCATCGATACTTTATATTTTTCAATAGTTCATCAACATCAGATTTGCGTAAGCTTCTAATTACCTTTCTACGGATGACTGGTATACCCACAAATGCCATGTGTTAGGAAACATAGTATTTTGGGTATCAAATTTGCACTATGTATACAATAAATTGTCATTGTTTTCCGTAGGCTGTTATTTATAGGATTCGAGAGGCAAAGCTCTACGAGAAATCAAGTGATCTGTTTAGTTCATTCGCTTTGTATTACTTTTCCTCACTTAAGTTTGCTAGATATTTAGCTACACTTGAATACCACTATTATTTTAAGTTAGAAATGTTTTTTCTAGAACGTTTACTTCATTGACCAACTCTATATCATTCCATATTAGATTTGTTTATTTGATAGAAAGCGCACAGTGATACAGTATTATTTACTTGATTACGTTTCGAGGATAAATTATTGCTCATAATCATATCAATGTAATCACACTTCTTTCGACATCTGATTTTATAGTCCTGTCACCTGATCTCTCTTTGTTTTTTTTGTTTTTGATTGGTAGTAAAGTTTTCCATATCTCTGGTATAGGTGTTGCGTCATTCCTATTCCACATGTGTTGGGTGTGGATTCGATGAACAAAGATTCAATAATTAATCTCCCTCTCTCTCCACCTAGCTATATTAGACTTAAGTACAGTGGTTTTGTCCCACCCTATTGTGTGGTTGTGTGTTAATGAATGTAATGCAATGGCTGAGTGTTTTTCTAGGTTATTGATCTTATTGGGGTCTGCCGTTCTATGTTTAGCTAAATTCCTATGTTCTGTTAATCTAACTGACCCCGACCGGCTAGTTTGACCTATGTATTTGACCTCACAGTCATTACATGGAATTTGGTAGATTATATTATTTTGCTTAATTGGTTCTATCGGATCTTTATCAGTTGAAGTTGACTAGAGCAGCGTTTAGATTCGATTGGAATATTAGTGTAGAATTTATCCCATTCCGATTGGTTGTGAATGTGAAGCAAATTCGATTTTTTCCGTTTCTGAATGCGCTACTGACAAGAAGATTGAATAATGTTATTCAGAGATCAATGTATGTACAGAAAAGTGATATGAACTGAGCAATTTATCACCTTTCAAAGCTCCATTTTCCTTTCATTAACAAAAAGAACCTTGCATGTTCGTTATGTTTAAGGATTTAGAAGGTCTGTTATTGAAGAAACCTCATATAATGACCTACAATTTCTATGTGATATCCTCATCAAAAGAGGTTATCCACTTAGATTCATAGACTCTAAAATGAAAGATAGATCACAAACACAAAACGTGTCGACCATCTCAATGAAAACTCTTTTCATCAAAGGTGATATTGTATCAGAAATCCTTAAAAATCGGTAGAAAATATCAACCATTCTACTGTTGAACATCTTATCGACCCGGAACATGCGGATCCTCTTCAAATTAATTTATAGAGTGCTTCCCATTCATTTCGGTTGTATTTTCATACATTTTCATACATTTAATGAGTCTATGTGCTTTCAATTTTGTATCAAGATGAATCTCCATTATTACCGATGATAGATAGGGTAGATATTCTTAAAAATAACACTATGCTAATCGATACTTTATAATAACCATTATTACTATTATTGCTTATTTTCCCTCAGGACAATCTGTCTTGTTATCGACGTTTTCTTCAAATGCATCAAAATACTCTAAATAATGGACTGAAAAATGTACGGTTAAGAATTGATGATGTCAAGATGCTAGTTAGTGATATGAAACAGTTGTATGCATTGAATTCAAATGATGTGAATAGTAAAGTTGATGTAAGCATATTTTCTGTTTGAAAATCTTCATAAACTACTTCACTTTTGATACCAATTAATGATTGAAGGTGAAATAGGAATTTTGACTACGGCAGAACTTAGGTACTCAAATCTCTGTTTCTTGTTTCAGCAGTGTATGAACTGAACTGTGAGACTAAACTGTTAACCAGATTTTTATTTCACCTAAGGTTTCATCTAATTATCATATGAATTCGTGACGTGTTGTTATCTGCTGAACATACTCATACTTGCTGTTCAGTTAGAACTGCTCATCCTAACTGAACAGAAATAGAAATCTGTTCAGCTGTCACTTTTTCTGGCTTAGTTGACAGGGAACTGGGTTAGAAGCCTGAGGGTCACTGGTTTGAATTCTGCTGTGGTCTAAACTTTTATTTCACCTGTAAGTTGTGTCCCTAGAATAAGAAAATACTATTTTATGCTCTGCTTTTTTAAGAAAGTTGAAAGACAATTGTTGGTGTCATTTACTTAAAAAAAAAAACGTTCGTTTCATATCGGAAACACATTGTTTAATATGAACTCAAAAACGTATTGGCATCCTGCATCGAAGGCATAAATACTTCGTCTGTGCTTCAAACATCATTCGTCAAACTAAAGTGATATTTACACTAATAACAGAAGCGTGAAGAATTTGGTTAGTTTATAAGCGTTTCAATCTTCTTCGCTAATGTTATTCTGTGCTTTTATAGTCAGCTTACATCAAACATGTCAACGTAGAATACCACACATTAGTGAGGTGATTTTTATCGAAAAATTTCTCTAGTGTACAGAAAATTTTAAGAAAAAAGTAGAACAAACATGAAGATGAATTGCATGAAGACTATGACTTCGTACAATGACGTAAGACTGATGAACATACCGGTACAGAGTCTCAGAAGACATGAATAGATTCATGCTGACATATTTCACAACAGTACAGAATGGTGAAGATTATATACGTCCTTACCACTGATTGACTTTAGGTTTTTAAGCCATCCTTTTTCAATTTTTTCTTCTAGCAAACATTGATTTATACAAAGCGTTAGCTATGTACCCATTCACACAATCAACAAATCTCCTATATCCTTTAACGTCAGCAACCAATCATTTAACCTGTTATTGGGAGGTTTTTACTGTGATAGAGTTTATATAATTGATGATATAACTAAGGTGAAGTGAAACATTCTCCCTGTAATAACTCAAAAAATCTGGATTCAATAAGCAGTATGACCTTTAGTAATCAAGTGTATTAGTAGTCAACTACTTTCGATTGTTAAACACTTCCTCAATTTATGTGCTTTACAGTTTCTACAAACATGATGCATACATTTATATTTGTATATGAACCTTCATTGATTGAGGTAGCTTGGATATGTGTTACATATGTTGAATCATCGATTACCTTTCTTTCTCATCCCATACACCTTTGTCTACTTCGATATCAATGTTTTTCTATCCATTGGTTCTTTATAATATACTACTGTCAAGTGTGATAGCTTGAACGGATGCACCTGTTAGATGATAGGAAATATTTGTAGCTCAAGAGGATTATTTTGATGGGGTTGAGTTCTCTGAGTTGGATTGTTTAATGGTCGAGCTTTGATTGTCATTCTAGATAATGTCATCAGCATAAACTTTATAAAGAAATGATCAATAAAGTTTTTCTCTGCAATTTATTTACTAACTTGTCTTGATGACTTTGTTTGTTGTTGGTTGTTTCTACCATGGTCTTATCATTGTCTCTATTTTGATTGGTTGTCCTAATGACCTTTATGTTGTTTCTTATTGGTTAATAGATTAAGTCAATGTCAATGTCTGTTGATTGCTGACTGACGTGATTAAATAATCTAGTTCAAAGAACTCAACCCCATCAAAATGATGTACTTGTTTATGAGGTTCTACACTGGTTTTGTCTGTCTAAGATGATTTAGCTCAATCAATCCCTGATGCATATCCTTCCATCAGATGGCATATGCATGGATGATCGATTCCAAACGACTACCGGTGAAACATTCATTGATCCTTAGCTTCCTTTAGGCTGTTTTCAATTCATGCTTATGAGAAAGTGAATAAGAAGTTGAAAAAACTTGTACAATGTCTTATTATAACTATATGAATCTCTGATTGATTTAGATTACCTCACCTAAATCTCTACTTATAGACGTAGAAAGTAACAAAATTTGACTGACTACGTTTTTATTACAGTATTTGTAAAAATCTGTAGTAGTTTTTCTACGGTAGACATTTTTGACGACAGTTACCATAACAGCTGTTCACACAACGGGAAAACTTGTTTTTTGTCTATACTCCTTAAAACTTTTTTCTTGTAAATTAGTTGAATGTTTCTTACTACCTTGAGCATACCTAATCAATAGACCTAGACTAGACTAGGATAACTGAGTAGTATATTGATAGGGATTAAAGTTTTCTTTCTCTGTTGTCTATGATTACTTATTGTTATTCATGCGCTACACGATTGACTAGTATGGAAAAACATTGAATAAGTTGTACAGGTGAAGTTAAGTTGATTGTATATATTATGAAGATCATTATATTATTATTTGTCCCTTGGGTTCCAAGTGGAATATAGGGCTACACTAGCATGTCTCCATTCCACTCTCTTCTCTGCAATCTTTTGAACCTGGCTCCACGATTGCCCACAAGCTCTCATTTCTTCCTCAGACGATCTCCTCCATGTCACTTTCAGCTGGGACGACCAACTCATCGTTTCCCATCTGAGTTTCAGTCGACGACCTGGACTGGCGCGTGATGTCCCCAGTTGGCCTTCCCAGTGCATGCCCAATCCATCTCCACTTCCTTCCAGTGCATATTTGTTGGGTGATAGGTTCTCGCTTCGTTGGTTCGTTGCCAGCCAGCCAGAGTTCCTTGTTGCTTATTCTTATTATTCTAGCCATCTGACCTTCAGTATTGAGCCAGTGTAGGCAGTTGTTGATAAATATCTGTAGTTTGTTGGAAGTGCTTTTCGTGACGTGCCAAGCCTCTGAACCATTACATAGCAGTACTGACTTGACTGAATTGGTGTTGAAAATCCAGATCTTGTACTTTGTGCTGAGTGCAGAATATCTCCACACTGGTTTCAGGTTAATGAACGCCTGTCTTGCTATCTTTCTGATCCTGGCTGCTATGACACCGTCGTCTGTGCCGCCGCCGCCACCTGTAGTTGAAACAGTGCTGCCTAGATGGGTGAAAGAGGCTACTTCCTTTAAGTTTCTCCCGTCGATGGTGATTGAAGCTTTTTGTTGTTGGTGGTGGTGTTGAAGATTAGGATAAGATAAACTTTGATTAGTCTGTAGAGTGTAGCCCCCATGGCCTTCAATTTAAGAGAATCTGAACAATGGGACGGGTGTCTTCGAAGCAGCTTGTAGGTATAACCATGTTTCACCTTTTGAGATAAGCGTCTTCAATTATATCTTCGAAGACTTTAGATTAACCTATAAAATTTAGGTTACTCGAATCTACCAATACTGCTGCGTTATTTTAGTCATATCGAATTACGGAAACAAAATCGGAAAACGAAGTTGAAACGCATTCAGCATTAGGCAGCCAACCATACCCATTGTGTGAAGGCCACAAATTTCACATTGCTGCCTAAAACTTGGTAGGTGGAGCAGAGTTGAAACCCATTACTCACTGGTTGAAAGTAAGTTGTCTAGACCAATAAGTCACAGCTCTAAAGTATGGTATGAGATATTGTTTTTATATGTCCCGATCTTTTTCAGAAACTTATACGGTGGTGACGGGTAGGGAAGTCTAGGAAACACGCTTCGCACTATCCAGGACTCGTCATCAGGACGAACCTACACCTCACCTAGTGATGACGTTTCTACTCAGACTCAAATCCTGTACCCGCTACTAGCAAACACTGAAGCGTTATCCATAAATCCACCGAGACACCGGAGACACATCTTGTGCAATGAGTATTAGTTATTACTAACTACTAGCCACTACTAGGTAAATTATATCAATGAATATTCCGGCTATATTGAGTTTTCCGCACGGAAGCCTATCTACCAACAGAGGTTGGTCAATTTGACCCAGCATAGCAATAGGGAAGTACAGGCATCTATAAAAAATGAAGGCAGCTTTAACTATGGACTAAAAATAATACAAAAGATATTGAGAACTATAGAGCATTGAATAAATGTTTCATTCTAATCTAGGACTTTTCAGCAATGAACATTCGTCATGATATGTGATAAACCAAGTATTGGCCTGCGTAGTTCATTAGTGAGAATGCCTCTGACAATGACTAGTCATATATTCAGTACACTAATATACTTTTCTTTCCATTTAGAATAACAAAAAGAAATGTGATGTCTCACAAGTTGTAAATTTCATCGATGATAATAACGATAAGAATGAAATTTTACAAAAGACTCTCAATAAAAAATCACAAGAATTTGACTATTTAACAGATGCTCATAGAAAGCTCACAGCATGTTATAATATGGTGCATAAAAAGTAAGCATATATATGTCCTTTTGGTTTTTTATTCACCGAAACAAACGAATCATTCTAGAACTTGTTTCATATGGTTAATAGTTAAGTTGATACTATACACACTACAGTTTCATATTTAACACTTTTACGAATAAACCTTGTTTTTAGACAATACATTTTCAAAATAAAAGTGGAATAATCCGTTTGACTATCTCTAACATGATTGTGGTTTGACAAGATTGTATCGATACTGGTTAATAATTGAAGATGAAATGAAAACTTTGGTCTCAACATGATTTTAACCAGAAACCTCCAATGTCCGAACTCAGTACTCTACCAACATATTTACAAAACTCAACTGCTGACCAGATCTTAATTTTACTTGATGGTTGAAGTGAAGTGAAGTTGTAGTCTGTATCTGTTTCGTAGCTCAAATGTTTGATTACTGGACCATGGATCTGGAGGTATCTGATTAGAATCCTGCTGCAGCCTAGAATTCGAGCCAAAATTCTTGCCTTTCCAATGTTATCATAGGAATATTTTGTATATAGAATATGGTTCCATGAATGTACTTGCCAATAACCATCTCTTTCAACTGTGCATAAATAGCAAAAGTGTTTCTACTGTAGAAACTGTCGCGTTTCGAAGCATTCACGTAGCCAGTTTGTATAACTAGTACAATATGATTTCTAATTGTCATTTTACGGATATCATTCTGCCATGAATGCCAGTTGGATGGATGCGATCAGCAGGTAGCCTTGCTTGACACGGATTTTATGCTTTTTGGCACTCATCTGCATGGTGTATCAGCTATCTCGATGGAGCTGGTGTCCCCTGTGAGATTGAAACCTGTGGCCAGCGACGTTACCACTGAGCTATTTAGGTAGCGATGGACTTTCTGTAAGACTAGATTAGAGGCAAAATGATCAACAGGATTCAGTCGGCACTCAGGACTAAACAACATGCAATTGGTTACTATGCCGTAACAAATCATGCATCATTCTGTTATCCCAGTCACCTAGAAATCTAGAAGTTACAAGTCTCGTACTAGGGAGAAACATCTGTCAAGTGCTCCCAGGTTCTTGATGGTTCCCCAACTGATGTCAGCGCGTGATGAATAGTCTTCTCGACATCCTTTCAGCCGGCAGGTGTATGTACATGAAAACCAGCTATCAAGGCGATCGAGAATGAGATCTACGGCAATATCTGGATGACCTACGTATATGATATTGTGTGTGTCAGCGTCCTTATGCCCCCCAGCATTACAGTCCTGGTATCGGTGTTGTTTAGGTGGATAAGGTTTGATAAAATGCCAGGCACCACAATGCCAGCAAAGCGATAGGAGTGTCTTCTTCGAGGGTTGGTTTTGAAGTACATACAGTTCGCCAGATATCTCATTCCCCCGCATCACCCTCTGGCCATACACCTCCTGGTCTTATCTCGCCGGTTCATCGGCCCAGTAACTCATACAATAATAGTCTACCAAGGCAGATAAAAGTTGATAATAGCTTCTTTTTAAGCTCATAAATCCGGTTGGAAAAGTTCAATGACTATCGCTACAAAAAAACTTTAGGAGAATTGAGCTTGGTTATTTGTTTAATATTTTGAAGGAATTGAAGATATCTACTTGATTTCCAGCATGAATCTGATGATTTCTGAAACAGAGAAAAGTATCTGGATCATTAAATTATCAAGTGGTTTTAAGTATATTGCTTCTACTCCCTCACATTACAACACTATATTGATTCATATGTTCATTTAATCTTTCCATTTATCCGCCTAAACAGAATGAACTAACCTTATCAAACAGTTAATCACTTCAAGTTTCATTATGATAGTATTTTCCACTTTTCTTTTATGAACTAATTAGGTTGACAGGATATTTATACAATGAACGTTTGATTTATAACAATTTGACAAAATTATTCACAGCTTACAACCCTGACATCATCATCAACAATAATAATAATACTGCTTATGATAATCAAGTTATTTCAGCCTCAGACAACTCTATACTATATCAACTGACAAGTTTATTGAGAATTATGGGTGCAAATCAAGTCAGTTTTCAAGATGTAGCCTTTTTATTATTTGTTATAGGAATTATAAATAATGCATTATGTGGGTATTGCACTCTGTTTTACATGAAATTTTGCAGTTTATAACTTTTGATATTCATATAAACTACGATGAAATACTAATCTTAGTGACTAGCAATGGGATCTAGCAGGCGGGTTTCGTCCTATTTAGGACTCCAGCTGAATTTACCTGCATCTCAGTGAGTAGTGCTATCCCTACCGGGACTCGAACCCAGTACCTAATACTTCAAATGCCAAGGCGTTAGGCACTAGGCGGTTAGGGGACGATAGCCGTCTCTTGTGCAACGGGTATCGGTTGTTGCTTTGATACTTGTGATTTCCCGATACTATACAGGATTGAATAACTCGACCTCTGCTGGCAAAATGGGCTCCTATTAGGAATATTCATGGTGTTGTATTCATCTTGGTAACTAGTGGTGGACTTTGGGACTAGTCAGCTGGATGTACGTGTACTAGATGTCAAATAACTAGAGTCGATGGGTATTAGTTTTGAGTCTCAGTGGGGACAAGATCACTCACTGGGGTGCAGGTGCATCCAGATGAGATACAACGCGCGTCCTGGATTTCACTGCTGGTCATCAAGACAAATATAACATCATTAATATCTATGAACATCAAGGCATCCGCATAGGACCCTATCTACCGACATAGGTCAAGCAGGTCGAGGCTGTATAATAACGGGAAATTACAAGTATTAAAGCTGCAGTGATATCTAATGATGAGTGGTGGGGCTAGCAGTGAACTCATGGACGTACACTTCGTCCTACTCTTGACTTTTTAGCTGCATGTGCCTGTCTCCTAGGTGGCAAGTGATAGTGTTTCCACGAAGAGACTGGAACTTATCACAGGTCGCTCCAAACACCACTGAGTTCTCTACCAGTTTCTCCTTGTGAACGGGCATGGTGTAACATCAAATACAATAATATCTGTCTAAGAGGTAACAACACTGCACTATGTCACTGAGTCCCTTGAAGCGAAAACGCTAGAAAAGTGTTCCACTTATGAACGTCTACACATGAAGTTGTACATCGTATTTCATTTTCATCGCTCATACGGTCTTTTTTCATCACCCTTCTGCTTTTGGCTAGTATCTTATTTATATGCTACTTTGTATGACAAACACTCTATGACCGTATCATTTAGTTAATATTTGACACTGATCTAATTCCTCCCTTTGAAATCGAACACTCAACCTCAAACTCGTACCTTCTATGGTGTCTTAAAAACTTATATCCGATGTGAAGAGAACTAGTTTTTGCGCTGTCTACTTTGGATATATATATATATATATATATATATATATATATATATATATATATATATGAATCAGTTTTGTAAAAACCTTCATCAGTCAGCGCGAACTAAAGACATAGTCGTCTGAATAGATTAACTTGTTCAAATATCCATACCTGTCAACTTAAAATTGTTCACCTGGTGATTACAAGACTTGACACCATTGTAGACAATTGGATAAGTTCAGTCATATTAGTTTGTAGTGTAGTGCAATTCTAAGTTGTGGGTTCGAACATCATTGCACTAACCTAGGTTTGTTCACCAATATTAAATACTACTTATTCTTATATGAGTGGCACTATTTTGTCATTATTATTATTTATCCCTTAGCTTCCTAGTGGAACATAGGGCTACACTAGCACGTCTCCATTCCACTCTCTTGTCTGCAGTCTTCCCAACTTTACTTTATGACTGCCCACAAGCTCTCCTTTCTTCATCACATGATCTTCTTCATGTCACCCTTGGCTCAGACGACCAACTCATCGTTCCCCATCTGGGTTCCACTTGAGGGCCTGGTGATTGATGTCCCCGAATGAGAAGAGGTAAGTCAGTTGACGAGGTTGTGAACCTTCATCGACTGAGATGGTTGGGACACGTACTACGTATGCCTAGTCACCGATAGCCTCGTCACACAATTTTGGCTGAGGTGGGTCCAGGCTGGAAAAAGAAAGGCTCGAGGTGGCCAGACTAAAACATTGCACCAATGTATGAAGTCTCTGACTGTTGGTTTAAGCCCTGTGAGGCGATATAGACTAGGTGGTTGGGGTCCACGGGACAAGAGGAACCAGTGGTTGGAGACTGACGCTAGGTGATATGGCTGAGAACTGATGTCAGTGGCGCAGATGTATACACACATTATCCTCATCTTAACTACACTATGCCGAATCTCACCATTTCGTCGCTCCTCTTTCCTTTCTTCTCGTACTTTATATTTCTTTTGACTGCATTCACTTATCTTCATCCTTCACCTCACTACCTTTTTACTTGATGAACTGACACGAAGTGTGGCAACTCTGACCGTTACGCAGTAATGCCTGGTCCTATGTTGATAATGATTGATTGAATGGTCTCCTCAGTACATGCCCAATCCATTTCCACTTCCTTCTGCATATTTTTTGAGCGATAGGTTGTTGGTTGGTTCGTTGGCAGGCTAGAGTTCCTTGTTGCTTATTCTTTCTGGCCATCTGAGCTTGAGTAATGAGCGTAGGGCACCATTTGGACGTATCGATTTCGTATTTTATTGTCTTTGTCACTACGTTCATGTTTTCTTACTTCAGAATTGTTTGATTGATACTACTTATTCTACTACTTATTCATTCTAAGGATTTAGCAGACGACCTGGCTAGCCAATTGGATTCACTAAGATCAAACTGTGAAATATCTACTACTGAACCAGTTCAACAAAATGATATACAAGAGGTTACCCTTGATGAGCTTACTTCTTTAGGTATAAAACTTTCAGTGACTGAAAAACACCTATATGAACTGCGCAAAGAACATGAAGATTGTTTAACTGAATTTAAACAATGCAATGAACAACTTAATTTGTCAAAGCGTGTCATCAATCAACTGAAAGATGAATTGGATCAGTACAAGGTAATCATTATATGACTCATTATGCAATATTCATTACACTAAATGAATAAGAAATACATAAATACATTGAGCTCACTTGTATTCGCTTAAATTTCAAAAAAGTCATCAACACGGGACTAGGCATTACTGCAGAACAGTTCAGGTTGCCAGTTTCATATCAGTAAATCAATAGAGAAAGCATTTTGTCAAACAATAAGAAAATTAAAAGGAATCCGTGAAAAGCAGTAGGAAGTAGTAACGGAGAGGAGGGAGGACTGAGAAAATGCTGAATTCAGTATGACGATTAAGATGGGAATAATGTGTGGATTCGTTAGTGTTACTAACTTCGCTTCCCAGCCATATCACCCAGAGTTTCCAACCAATGGTTGATTTTGTCATCAAAACGTTTACATTTCTCTGCGCTGATGCTGTGTTTTTCTCTTTCTACCCTAACCTTTTTCCAGCCCGAAAATATTTTAACCGGCATTATGCGCTGGGACAGACGGTGACTAGGCATCAGTAACATATGTTCTAGCCATCTCAGTTGATGAAGGTTCACTACCGCATCAACTGACCCACCTCTCCTCCCCAAAATTCTACACCTAACTTCTACATTACTGACTCAGTGACACTACGACACACTACCTGTGCAGTGAAAAGAACGGTGGTCAATCACTTGGAGTCTTCTCATATCCTCTACCTTTAATGACGATGTCTCACAATCATGCAGTAGAACAGAGCGAACTGTAGCTCAGTACACTAGACCATTAATAGGGAGTCGAACACCTGGACGGTGCCATATATGGTGTAAGTTGATGAAAGCCAACCAAACGTTTCGTATCTTTGTCAACATTTCATCGGTTACTGAACCACAGGAGCTGACCCAATTTCCCAGGTAAGTGAAGAAGTCAACGCCCTTGACCAATTCACTTCATATTTTTAAACGAGGTACCGGCGAAGACCCATTTTAGAGCAAGAAATGCATCCAAAGCAACTTAAGTTGCTATGTAATGTTTCCAGAAGACTGCATCCTATCGACATCATCACTTCACAAGACTATCTTATCAGCGTATTACGAGTCTGCTAATGAGTGTTCTGTGGTAACACTGATTGATCCTTGTTAATTCAGATGATTCAAAAACGCTTGAGTAAGACCTCTTTATCGATAGATTCGAATGGTACTATCAGTTCAAGAAATACGGACAGTGTCCGGTATCCATAAGTGTGCTTTTGAATCAGGCCCAGGTGGAGGGTGAATATCTGGTTGATACATTCACTGTCACATTTGAAGCTTGTCTGTTCCTCTCAGATTTTTTGTTCTTAAGATCCATTTAGACATCTGATAATTATATAAACTGGGATTTAAGAAACGATGTCCATCAAGCTGATTTCATGTAGTTATCACAGGAGGATTTCTCATCTTTCCATAAGACTGGGACAGTCAGTGAGTGAAACTAGTAATAAAGGAGCGTATCTGACTCCCAGTCAGTGCCTAACAATTAAGTTAATTTGATCAATAATATGTTACCACCGTATTTCAATGAGTTTCTTCAGTACTATTCCTTTTGTACTTGCTGCTTGTCCTCGTTTCAAATTATATACAACTCTCGATTACCGCCAGTGTTGAAGGTTGTATTTCGTTGGTTTGAAGAGTTGACTTTCAAAATGTTGGTCGATAGTTCGATCTCTGCTCTAACTACCGAGGTTTGGCCAGCTAGGTGGTATCTTTAGCTTCCACACAATAAGTGTAACTCATAGCCTACTGCATGAAAGTCCACAAGGTTACTGAGTAGATTTAGATTTAGATTCGATCTCCAGTATAAAAGCCATGCGATACATTGCACCAATTAGTTACACCATAGTAAACTTATGATTTGTAGAGATGTTTTTCCAACTTTAGAAGTTTTTCACTCTATCTGTCTCTCTTATACAATTACATTCCTCACAAATTCATCACTAGTACTGATATAAAACATGCTACATTTTGGTTTGAGTGTTTTAGTTCCCATTGGAAACTGTAGTCGGATTTAGTTGTATCATTCTTATGTGTGTATCACTTATCGACTTAAGTAGAGAATCATATATATGATGGTTTCTCAGCTGAACTACCAAGCATACTTTATCTGGTGAACTTAACTTTGAACACATTAGAGAACCATCTATCTGGTGTTAAAGTTATCTTAATATAAATCAGTAGGCTTGGTGATTCCGGTGATTATTTTCCAGTTACTCACTTCAGTTAGTATTATATATTTTGTAATATAAGTTAAGTTTTCGGAGTACATAGAGAATGAAACCTATAGTTCGGTGTATATTATCAATATTCAATGTCATACTTATGAAGTGTCAATGTACTGTGTAAACAAATTTCTTCTTGATGCTTCTTTTATCTCAGAATCTAAATCATCAATTCAAACAGTCATCTATAAGTACTCAAACAAATTGTTCCGATGAACAGATATTCCCATCAATAAAGTTGGATGAACATAATCCTTTTGTCAAAGAATTACTAAACAGACTTGAACAAGCTGAACAAAAAGTCAGCCAGCTAACTGATCTTAATTCTACAAATACACGGAAGTATTCAGAAGAGAATATTGAACCATTACAAACTAATAATCTTGAATCAAAGGTGATTTAACATGTTGAATTCTATTAAATAAGTTAAATTGAGGTGTCTAATTACAGTTTAATTCTTTCACTCTTTCATATATTCAGCAGGTTGATGTAAATTCTTAAACGTTGTCAGAATATCTAGCTGAGAAATCCTGTTGTTGTGATGGTATGATATTTTGTGTGTAATCTTGACTACTCATTTTTTTTCGCCCTGCATATTATTATTACTATTAGAACGTAAGTGTTGATTATCAGTGTAAGGGTTTTTTTTTTACTTACACACTATTAGTGAACACCTTATCTTCTAAATGCTAATGAAACATTACAAAATCTCAAAAAGATTCAACCACTACTTATAAAAACAATATTCTCTTCGAATGATCTGGTTTGATCTTATGGAATATACTAGAGGATGACTTTGGTTGAGTGTTACGTGACTCAAAACTCAATATTCTTGCCATTAACACCGGTCGACACATATCATTGTTATTTGTGTTGATAGTATAGTAAATTTCTAGAGGTAACCGGTTAGTTGGTTGGTTGATTGAAATGTTTCACAAGTAAACACATCACTGTATTGAGTTGGTTCAGTCAAATCCCCAGCTAAGAAACTAACTATTTATCAATCCAAATTTTTAACTTTATTCAGTGTTTCGTTTCGGTCAGGCTTTGGCATTAGATAAATTAATTGTAGTAATGAAATAACTGTTTATCGACTCTGCATGTTTCTCGTACTAATTAAAATATCATTTATTTGTTGCTATTATTATATTACTTTCCCCTTGGATTACTAGTGGAACATAGGTCTTCAGTAGCACACCTTCATTCCACTCTCTTCTCTGCAGTCTTTCCAACCTTACTCCACGACTGCTCACAACCTTTCATTTCTTTCCCACATCACCGCCTCCATGTCACCCTCAGCTAGGATGTACAATTCTTTGTTTCCCATTTATATTCCACTCGAGAGCCTGCCTTTGGGCGTGATGTCCCCAGACGACCTTCTCAGTGTATGTCCAATCCATCTCCACTTCCTTCCAGTGCATATTTGTTGGGTGATAGGTTCTCGCTTCGTTGGTTCGTTGCCAGCCAGCCAGAGTTCCTTGTTGCTTATTCTTATTATTCTAGCCATCTGACCTCCAGTATTGAGCCAGTGTAGGCAGTTGTTGATGAATATCTGTAGTTTGTTGGAAGTGCTTTTCGTGACGCGCCAAGCCGCTGAACCATTACATAGCAGCACTGACTTGACTGAATTGGTGATGAAAATTCGGATGTTGCTCACGCTTTATGCTGAGTTCAGTAGATCTCCACACTGATTATTTCAGATTAATGCAGGAAGGCCTGTCTTGCTGTCTTTCCGATCCTGACTTTGACGTCGTCATCTGTACCGCCACCTGTAGTTGAAACGATGCTGCCCTGCCTAGGTAGGTAGGTAAAAGAGACTACTACCTTTAGGTTTCTTCCGTTCATGGTGATTGGTGCCTCTTGTTGTTGATGCTGTCGTTCGTGAGGTATCTTCATCACCTTTGTCTTCTCTACCTTCACTTGAAGTCCCGCTTTCCATTGTTGCCTCTTCTGTCAACATGTTAGTTTTCGTCTGTAGATCTTCGAGTTTGTGCGACAAAACACTAGACATAAACCATCATCATCGTTGGCAAAATCCAAATCTTCTAGTGTCTTTTCATCGGTGTAGCCAGTGTATGCCCATCTTCTCACTCCTCACTGTTTGCCGCATGATCCAGTCTACCACAGTCAGTAAGATCATGTGTTATAGTAGGCAACCTTGTCTTACTTCTGTCTTCACTTCAAAGGCGTTGCTGAGATTTCCATTATGAATCACTTGGCATGTGGCGTCTTCATATAGTTGTTGAATGAGGTTGATAAAGACTAGTGGTACTAATTTTGAGTTGTTTAAATGTCATTCTATAGTGGTGTACATGGCGGTTTTATTTGAGAAAATAACTAAGTGTCATCAAATACATTTCCAATCTTTATTGATTATCATTTGACTATCAGTGAGAGCAGCTGTGGTTTGGCAGACTAATATTGATACTGAGTGATGATTGAAGGTGAAATGAAAATTTCGATCACGACCGGATTTGTACCAACGACCACTGAGTTCCCGACTAGATGCTCTACCAGGTGAGGCTACGAGGTCCAACTGCTGACCAGAATTCACATCGTAGTCGGGCAAAACTCATGGTGATTGAAATGAAATAAAACTCTTAGGCAGGCTGTAAGTTTTAAACAAATGCTTCAGTCACGTATACTTCTGGAAAAAACGACATTTTTGATCTAACTAGCTTCATTGTAATGGTGTATTAATACAAATCTATGAAATTCGAGGTCTTCAAGGGGATACTAACTATTCCAACATTTCATAACTATAATTATAAACCTGAACACCGATTATATGATGAAATGGTCAGTAACAAGGATATTTGTATTTCGTTTTTTGTGTTTGTCTCACAAGAGATGGCCATTCTTTCACAATTTGTTTTTGATTGAAAGAAAAAACAAGTCGAATATGACAGTATAAGTATAGTTAACAATAAAATTACATTTAAGGTTGTTTATCAAGTCACCTGGATAAGTTTGATTATTTCAGTAGTAATACACTGTAATTGAAAGTAGTCTCATATGGTCTAAGAAACAAAGTTACTATTATGTTCTGAAGATGACTACAATATCACAAGTTCACTAGGTGAGTAAAGGCATAAGTTTATGTTCACCATCAGTGTTATTGAAGTTTGAAGTCCAATACTAATCAAAATCATTTGCTTTTAAGGATGATATTGCTCCATATAGTTCAACGATGTAATGTTGTTACGAAAAGTGGTTGAAATATCATCTTTCTAATTCACCTCGGAGGCTTGTGGGGATTTACACATTGAGGATTTCTTACACCTACTTAAGCAGCATCGTTTCAACTACAGGTGGCACAGGCACAGATGAAGACGTCAAAACCAGGATCGGAAATACAACAAGACAGACATTCCTGCGTTAATCTGAAATCAATCAGCGTGAAGGTCTACCGCGCTGCACTCATCATAAAGCATGAACAATATTCGGATTTTCAACACCAACTCAGTCAAGTATGTCAGTGCTTCTATATGATGGTTGAGAGACTTGGCGCCTTACGAAAAGCATTTCGAAGAAAGAAACTACAGACATACATCACATGAACAGCTACCGCCTACACTCACTCGATACTGACACTGGAGATGGAGATCACATGGTCAGAATAATAAGAATAAGCAAGGAGGAAGTTTGGCTGGCTGGCTGGCTGGTTAGCTGGCTGACTGACTGACTGACTGACTGACTGACTGACTGACTGGCTGGCTGGCAACGAACCAACGAACATAGCAAAATCCTATCGCCCAAGAAATATGCAGAAGAAGAAAGTGGAGATGGATTTGATTGAACTGGACATGGACTGAGAAGACGGTTTGGTGACATCACGCGCCAGGCCAAGCCAGACTAGGTTGGTTAGTTGAGTGGAAGCGAAGTGGGTAACGATGAGTTGGGTGTCCCAGGTGAAGGTGATATGGAGAAGATGGTGTGAGGAATAAATGAAAGGTTGTGGGCATTTGTGGAGCCGGGTTGAAAAGACTGCAGAGAAGAGAGTGAAATGGCGATGAGCTGCTGAAGCGATATGTTCTACTACTAACTCAAGGGACAAATAATAATGATAAACTCATTGTGGATTAACATCAATTTCCACCTGGTAGAGTACTCTTAAGCAGTGTGCACTCATAACGTCTCTTGCAGTGGACCGAACCCGGACCTTCAGGTTCCATGCGTAACCATTGAGCCACTGGGTCAGGATTCAGTGGTTCACATTTTCCATCTTTTGTTAATTCACGATAAAATCTCGACATTGTGTGACCTCTATCCAATACCATCATGGAGTAACTGTCCTCATGCTGTACACTGTTCGTCTCACCTGTCACCACTTTTCATTTGAACTATGAGAAATCTCACTCCAGTCAACGTCAATGATGAGTAAGATCGCCAGGTGACAGAAACAGGATTCCAACTTATTGGTTCAATATCAACGTACTTACTGAGAAATCCAGAGGTCATATGTACGCACTCCTGAGGACTTTCGTGTTAAGACAAAACATCTGTCCAATTCTTCTAGGTTTTCATAGCTTTTCCAACTGATATCAGCCAGTGATGAATACCAATTCGAAATCATCTTTAGAAATTGGCTGGAGTGAAATAAAGACACTGACGAGATGATAATCACTCACTAGGCTGATTCATAAACTTGGCAACTGTTCCTGACTCACTGATCTGTGACATGATAGACCGGTTATTAATAAACAAAGTTTAAGAAAGGGGTCTATGAAGGATTCTAAATAAACCTACAAATATGAGTGCTGCACTTTTCTGATAGTCTGTAACCAGAGAATAAAGTTAGACTTTGATTATTACACTTGGTCTTGTCATACAATACCAATGACTCCTTTCCTATTTTTGTTGGTTTCTGAATAAGGGTCCTGAAAACAAATACGATTTAGTTAAATCTGTAAAATCTCTGAAAAGTAATGATATCACTCCTAGAACACTGAATAATAAAGATGAAAATGAAGATTCACATGAAGTTGATCAAATTACTACTCTACGTAAACGGATATCTGAATTAGAAAGTGATCGAGAATGGTTATATAAAGAAAATGAACGTCTTAGTGAACGTACAGAGAAACAGAGAAGATTTACAGAGAAGTTGACTAATCGTCTTTGTCAGTCAAATGTACTCCAGCAAATACAACAGTCTCAGTTGAATCCCCTACAACCATCAATTCAACAATCGCCATCATTTACTTATTCATTGTGCACTCAACCCACTCTTCTCCTCACTCAACCAGTGTCTAATTCAATACAACATGATTCTCAAAGGTAAGTTCTATTCTAGTGAAGTTTATATGTCATTTAGAAGGAATTGGCTTTATTTCTGTGAATTAGTATAAAAATAAACTTATCCCTACAAAGTATGTCATGTCAATAAAAGCAAACCATGGACTCCTTGAAATCTAATTAAGTATAAGTTTAAATCTGATCCGTTTTCTCGGACTTAACGTATTAGAAATAGATATATCGATTTTTAACACCAATTCAGTCAAGTCAGTGCTTCCATGTGATGGTTCAGAAACTTGACGCGTCACGAAAAGCACTTCCAACAAACTACAGATATTCATCAACAACTGCCTACACTGGCTCAATACTGAAGATCAGATGGCTAGAATAATAAGAATAAGCAACAAGGAACTCTGGGAACGAAACGAGAACCTATCACCCAACAAATATGCACTGGAATGAAGTGGAGATGGATTGGACATACACTGAGAAGGTCGTCTGGGGACATCACGCCCAAAGGCAGGCTCTCGAGTGGAATATAAATGGGAAACAAGGAATTGTACATCCTAGCTGAGGGTGACATGGAGGCGATGATGTGAGGAAGAAATGAAAGGTTGTGAGCAGTTGTGGAGTAAGGTTGGAAAGACTGCAGAGAAGAGAGTGGAATGAAGGTGTGCTACTGAAGCCCTATGTTCCACTAGGAACCCAAGGGTAATAATAATAATAATATCGAAATGGTGGAGAATATTTGTAGATCAGGTGGATGATCTTGGTTGTATTTTGTTATCCAAGCTGGATTTGAACATAATTACCGCATATGTTTGTGGTTTGGTGTTCTCTGAGCTCTGATTATCTTGTCATGAAAGTCTCAGGTTTAGTGATATCTTCAGAACTTATTTGATAAAGAAGTGAATCAACTTGTTTTAATGATACTTGTAATTTTTTGTTGAGATACATGGCTGAATTACTTGACCTCTGTTGTCAGACGGCCTCCTGTGAGGATGCCTCGATACTGCCGGATATTCATGATGTTATATTGGTCTTAGTGACTAGCAGAGGAATTCTGAACTGGCTTTTTGTCGTGTTTCAGGCTCAGCAGTCTGCTGGATGTATCTGCACCCCACTGAGTGTTGTTCACACCAAGGCTTGAACCCAGTATCCTTCCCTTCAAATGCCAGAGCGTTTGTATTCTCTAAGCTGGGTAGTTTAATCAGCTAAATCATCATTTTAAAATTATACAAAGTGAAGTATATTTGAATTCTACACGAATGTTTCAGTAGTGTTTTCTCTGACCTTGAATGTTTTTCACTTATAGGTTGGGGGAAGAAATGTTTACCCCATCTTGACCTTAAATTTCCTTTTGTCACTGCGATAGATAATCTTTGTTGAAGTGAAATTGCCACGTTTGTTACTGTCACATTGTGTATCATTATTGATTTGTTTGGACAGTTTGCTCTTGGTTGATATATAACTGTTTTCTTCCTAAGTAGACTGTAGATTGGTTTCATATCCACATGTCTGTTGATTGACATTTTGTTGAAACACTATTCTACTAGAAACTCTCTTACAATTTTTGAACCTGCTCTTGGGAGGATTTCCACATTCTCTGAGTCGAATTTGTAATCGTGAATGTCTGCATACATTGAAACCAAGGAGGTCACGTCATATCGCTTTACTGATAGTTGGTGTTCATGAATTCTTTGTGTAATCCGACGGTTAGACTGGCCAACATAGTGTTGTGAACAGTCTTTGTTATTCATTTTCGTAGATTGTATTTGTCCTATTTTTCCTTGATAATGTATCCTTTGATTTGGACGATCTGCTGTTTAGCAATAAAGTTCGTCTGTGTGTTACTGCGATACCATACAAAGGAAGAAACCGATTGATGTAGGGAAGCGTAATGACCTTAGAGATTCAAAGGAATTGCTGTCTTCGCTCCTGGTGATAAACACTTCTTGATCCAATACTTATGATGGATAGTGGCTAGCAGTTGGATCTAGGACTCGTGTTTCGTCCTATTTGGGACTAGTCAGCCGGATGTACCTGAATCCCAGTCAGTGTTGTTCCCCAGGACTCGAACTTGCAACCGACCGCTCTGAACACTAGAGCATTATCTACTTACTACACCACCAAACCGCTATAGCCATTTCTTGAGTCACAGGTATGTTTTCGGTGTTAATGTTTGTATTATCCCATCGTTGATTGGACCGAATTGGTCGGTCTCTATCGGCATATAAGCTCTTGCGTGGATGCCTCGATATTGCCTGTGTTTTGATTATACATTAATGACGGATAATGGCTAGCAGTGGAATCTAGGACGTGCTTAGGTTTGGTGGTCTAGTGGATAACGGTCTGGAGTTTGAAGCGATCGATCTTGGTTTCAACTCCCAGTGGGAGCAACACACTGGAGTGCAGGTACATCCAGCTGACGAGTCCCAAGTAGGACGAAACGGGCGTTTAGATGATTAGTTTAGGTGTGTCTTCTGTTTCACATTCCTTGGGAATCACGAATGTTCCACCGACGAAAAAATAAAATGACTATAGAATAAGAAAAAATAGCCATGTTGTAACGAAATTATCTAGAGTGATTGATCCTCTACGATGATAGCAGCAAAGGAAGAGGTTCTACATGTTTCCTCTGAACTTTTGAATTAGTAGTGCTTCAGCTATACTCAGGTGTCTCAGAACTCTTTGCTCTTTTTGATAAGGCTTTCTATATTTTACGAGAAGTACGACCAAGTCACTTAGATAAAGTGAGGCTAAGACATCTGACCATAGCTGAAGCAGTGAGAATTCAAAAGCTAAAATCATCATTATGCGTTCAAAAGAAACATGGAGGGAATTAGATCGATTTCAAGTTGGTATTCATCACGAACTGACTGAAATTAGTTGGGAAAACATTTAAAATCTGAAAGTACTGAATATTTGTGTGAAGCTGCTCAACAGTGCGCACATTTGACCACAACAAGGATCAAACCCGACCCTAAAAGATTTGGATTTCACTGATGATTTATGCCCAATGTCGCAGAAACTCCAAGACCTACAGGCGAAAACCAACAAGTTAGCGGAAGAGATGAGGCAGCGAAGATGACGATTCCTTCAGGTGAACGTAGAGAAGTCAGAGGTGATGAAGATACCCAACTAACAACAATAATAACAAAAAGCACCAGTCACTATTAACGGGATAAATCTAAAAGAAGTTGTCTCGTCAACTACCTACCCAAATACGCAACATCACTTCAACTACAGGTGGCACAGGCACAGATGAAGACGTCAAAACCAGGATCGGAAATACAACAAGACAGACATTCCTGCGTTAATCTGAAATCAATCAGCGTGAAGGTCTACCGCGCTGCACTCATCATAAAGCATGAACAATATTCGGATTTTCAACACCAACTCAGTCAAGTATGTCAGTGCTTCTATATGATGGTTGAGAGACTTGGCGCCTTACGAAAAGCATTTCGAAGAAAGAAACTACAGACATACATCACATGAACAGCTACCGCCTACACTCACTCGATACTGACACTGGAGATGGAGATCACATGGTCAGAATAATAAGAATAAGCAAGGAGGAAGTTTGGCTGGCTGGCTGGCTGGTTAGCTGGCTGACTGACTGACTGACTGACTGACTGACTGACTGACTGACTGGCTGGCAACGAACCAACGAACATAGCAAAATCCTATCGCCCAAGAAATATGCAGAAGAAGAAAGTGGAGATGGATTTGATTGAACTGGACATGGACTGAGAAGACGGTTTGGTGACATCACGCGCCAGGCCAAGCCAGACTAGGTTGGTTAGTTGAGTGGAAGCGAAGTGGGTAACGATGAGTTGGGTGTCCCAGGTGAAGGTGATATGGAGAAGATGGTGTGAGGAATAAATGAAAGGTTGTGGGCATTTGTGGAGCCGGGTTGAAAAGACTGCAGAGAAGAGAGTGAAATGGCGATGAGCTGCTGAAGCGATATGTTCTACTACTAACCCAAGGGACAAATAATTACAATCATAATAAGGATTAAATCCAAATTCCGCCACTCGCCACTTGGTCGTAGCCCAACTGCTCACAGTTTCCAACTTCTGTCAATTCACCATACTGCATGACCTTCATCTAATGCCTTCGTTGATTCTTTAGCCTCACGTCTATATTTGCACTTTATATTCTGTTTTCTCCCATCTCGAAGCTTCATCAGTCGATCTTTATCACTACTTGCTTTCTTCAGTGTAACGTTATATACTACCCATGTTCATTCTGATAAGTAGCTTTCACCGCACTGGCATTTTTCAGAGGTAGTCAACAATTGGCAAGCCATTGAGACGAAAGAATTACATTAATAGTTGGAAAAAAAACAAGATCAATAAACAAAGATGTAGTAGAGAAGATTTATAACTCAGGATGAAGATGATAATAACAACATTTTTGATATGTGAATGCAGTAGTCTCTTTCTCGTGTAATTTTGAGTTTCCCTCAATGGTATCTACTGTGACAAGTTGTATGGAGTGTGATGCACATCGTAACTAAACATTTTTAATGTCGATATTTGCATGCTCTCGGTATGTTCCAATGTTTGTTTTTTCCGTTTGAGCGATATTTCAGTGTTACCAGCTAAAGTCTCTAAGTCCCAAGCAAGGTCTATTTATCTGACATGCTGTATGATATCCTGATGTGTGTCAAATCAGTTTGATGAATAATTAAGAGATGGAATGTACTCCATGTATGTTCTTATAAGTAAAGATTCTTTGATGTGAGTTTATGAACTTCTATGTTACATTATTAAATTATGACAATTGTATGACAATGAAATCTGTTAGAAACTCTCCTGTTAATCTGTTTTATTCATTCGCTTTAGATGCTTGTCATTTTGTTATGACATTTCACTTGGTAAAACATTTGACCGTTAATTCGTTATTTCTCATCGTGAAGTTTGTCTTCACATCATACTAATCTGACTAAATTATAAACAACTACTTAAACTTCAAGTTGATATTTATCATGTAAAAAAAATGAAAAGCTGAAAGCACCTGACGGCTGTTTCGTCCTAGTATGGGACTCTTCATCGGTGCGCACCTATGACCACGCTACGGATTGAATCCGGGACCTTCATATTCTGTGACCAGCACGTTACCATTAAGCCACTGGATTGAAATTGAGTTATCTATATTTCCACTGGATTTCGACCCAATAGCTCAATGGTAACGTGTTGGCCGCTGTGGCATGATCATGAATGTGTGATGCTGAGGAGTCTCATAATAGGACGAAACACCTATCCAGTTCTCCCAACTTTCTGTTGTCTCTCCAACTGATATCAGTCTATGATGAATACCAAGTCGAAATCAGTAAATCCTTTAGAAACCCCAAATGAAAATACTTTAATGTTTTAAATGTATTATTTATCAAGAAATTGACTGATATCAATTAGAGATCCACTAGGTTATGACTGAGGGTGAAATGGAAGTTTGGGACTCAGGTGAATTCAAACCACTGGTCACCGGGTGTCTAGCCCCGATGCTGTATCAAGTGAACCTGGTCAGAGTCCTGGTGGTCACTGGTTCGAGTCTCAACTAGGCCTAAATTTCCATTTTGCACCTTCACTTATCACCCAGTATTAAATACGTACTAGACAATTCAATATATTTTAACTAAGTACTTATTATAAATTGGTTATTTCAATTTTAGCGCTTGTGTTAGGCCATTATGTGAATGGAATGTTACAAGTCCATCTGTATCACATCGTATTAATGGAGTGAGTGAAGAATTACCACACCATCATGATGCAAATTTACATTCATCTACAATGAAATTACCAACTTCTAAAAATGGTACAACTGCAAAAATGTCTGTAGTTGGACAAAGTTCTGATCGAAACATTGAAATAAAACACGTAAATATGCCTTCTACCTGGTCTTTGGATCAAGAAGGTGATGATGACGTCATCCTAGAACCGGAAGTTGGAGATTTGTTCACAGATCAACAATCATTGAATGCGCATACCATAAAAGAGGCTAAACGTATAGGGAGGCAAAGAATTATGGACAGAATGTGTCATGAGACATTCCTTCAACTGAAACCAGAACTGGAGCGTAGCATAGATATGCATATGGGAGGTAATGTTTAATTCATTCTCTTCGCTTTCATTTTTCTTCCTTTAAAATTAAACAGTATGGAGTGATGAGTATGCTATAGACATAGATCTATGTATATAGCAAATTCATCTCTGTTGATTAGTATCGAATGTCTGAATGAATTCAGTGACTAGTATTCTAGGACGCTTAGAAAATTCCACCTCCCCACACAGTGAATGATTATTATTTTATTTCTTTCTCCCTTGGGTTCCTAATGGAACATACGCATTCACTAGCACGTCTCCAATGCGCTCTGTTCTTCGAAATCTTTTCAACCTGGCTCTACGACAGCCCACAACCTCTCATTTCCTCCTCGCACCATCTCCTCCATGTCACCCCCACCACGAACGCCCAACTCAACGCTTCCCATCTGGCTTCCACTCGACGGTCTGGCCTGGCCTGACGCGTGATGTCCCCAGTCGGCCTTCTCAGTGTGTGCCCAATCCACCTCCACCTCCTTCCACTGCATATTTGTTGAGCAATAACTTCTTGCTTCGTTGCCAGCCAACCAGTCAGCCAGCCAGAGTTCCTTGTTGCTTATTCTTATTATTCTGGCCATGTGAGCTTCAGTAACGAGCCAGTGTAGGCAGTTGTTGATGAATGTCTGTGATTTGTTGGAAATCCCTATCTTAACCCACCAAGTCTCTCAACCATCACATAGAAGCACTGACTGACTTGACTGAATTGGTGTTGAAGATCCGGATGTTGCTCACGCTTTGTGCTGAGGGCAGAAGATCTCCACACTGGTTTCAGGTTAATCAACACCTGTCTTGCTTTTCTGATCGTCGCTGGCTTTGACGTCCCCGTCTGTGCCGCCTGTAGTTGAAACGATGCTGTCCTGCCTAGATAGGTGAGAGAGGCTACTTCCTTTGGGTTTCTCCCGTTGATGGTGATATGAGTTTGTTGTTGTTGGTGGTGGTGTTGTTGGTTGGATATCTTCATCATCTCTGTCTTCCCTATGTTTACTTGAACTCCCGTCTTCGCTACCCTACCTCTTCTGACAACTTGTTAGTTTTTGCCTATACATCTTCAAATTTGTGTGACATCAGACACAAGTCATCATCGGCGAAATCCAAGTCTTCTAAGTTCTTTTCCGCGGTTATATTTGCATAGTGTAATAAGAAGATGGAGATTGTCTGATATATGTGTATGATGCATTTGCACAATACACACTTGGAACAATCTGATCCACACATTACCTTTTCAAGGCATTGTAGTGTATGAAGGATGAAAATAGGGAGGTGGGGGGGGGGGTAAAATAAATAAATGAAGATGATACAGGATTTGGAAAATATGGGGATAATAAGCAGGAATAATCATACATTTTCACACCTCCCTTGGTATTAAAATGGGATAAAGATTATCAAGGTGGGTTTTAAGGCGAAGACAAACTGTTTTTGAATACACAAAGGGGGTTTAAACTTTCGTATAGCTAAGGTTTCAATGAACCTAAATATACGGTCTTGAGGGTTCCAATACAATCGTCTAAAGGCTGTTAGGAAGTCAAGCCTGTGAACTCTTTCTATAATGAGTTTACCCATGGACGATGACGTCTGTCTGTTCCCTGTATTTATCGGAGTATTTGAATGTGATTGTTTTGCTAACCATTTAGGGATATGCTCCACCATCTTCGACTTCATAGTTCGATTACTCCTCTTCCCAATGTACGTGTCACCGTACACACATGTAAATTGGTATACACAGCGGAATGTGACGTAATCATCAATGAAGTGATGAGGTTTATTTTGAAGCATAAGTTTTGTTTTCTCAATAATATTGAGCTTGACTGCGTAGTATGTATTTTAAATAACTGAATTAAGTCTTCGTCTTAAGATAATACTGTTTGATTCCCACTTATACGGTAGCGTGATGTAAACATCTTTCTTCGGAACAGAATACTGATTAGTTCACACCGTTAAGACGTTTTTGTGAGGGTTGATCAACTTCAGACGATATGCGTTTTCGATGAATGTCGTTGTTAAAAATTTGAATTCTTCTTTCAATGTATCTGTTGTTGGGTTCTTTTGAATTAGCACTTCAATAAACTTCGTTTGTATTGCATTGGACAGAAACTATGAAAGTTAAGGTACTGTCCAGTCTATGTAGGTTTTTTATGCATTTATCTTTTTATCTATCCATCTTCACTTCTAGTTAACAACACGTCAAGAAAAGGAAGCTGATTATTATTTTCTGCCTCACATGATAAACTAATGTGACTTTATACAGCGTTAAGTCGATCTAGAAGACTTTTCGCATTCTCGCATTTGTTACATATAACTAAGATATCATCAATGTATTTCCTGTACGGAAGGATTTCGCTGATAATATCCTGATACGCAGCGATAAGAAGTTAGCCAATAAGGAAGTTTTCAAGTCATGATCAGATCATGTTCAGGTCATGATTTATGCATGACGTGAGAACCTGATTGGAGGAATTCGACCTCGTACAAGAAATCTGATTAGTTCATTTATGGCTTCACTTTCTGAGAGTTTTGTAACTTCATGTATGTCATGTATTTGTCTAATAAAATTTGTTGTCGCTGTTCTTCAGTCACAGGCCGTCTTTGTCTTCTGGTTTCTCCGCGGCTCAGTGAAGCAGAAAGTACTGAGGGAGGTCAGTTGTAAAGGTATTCTGTTGAGGTGTCTATTGAGTCTCAGTATTCATTATACCCACGCGCGCAACCCCACCACTCGGTCACAACATATCCTCAACCAAAAGATCTACAATGTGACATGTAGACATAAGTTAACAATGATTCTAAAGGACTGCCCATAGCGATACCATCAACTTGTTGAAAATGTTCACCTTCGAAAGTGAAGTGAATCTTATCGGTGCATAGTGGTAATTTCATTTATTTATTTTACCCCACCCGATTTTCATCCCTCATACACTAAAATGCGTTGACGAGAAAATGTGTGATTAGATCGTTCAAAATGTGTATTGCGTGAATGCATCACACACATTGCACAGATAATCTCCGTCTTCTTATTACACTGTGGCACAGTAGCACACCTCCATTCCACTCTGTTCTCCGCAGTCTTTTGAACCTGGCTCCACGACTGCTCACGAGCTTTCATAACTGCTTCACACCATCTCCTCTATGTCACCCTCAGCTAGGACGCCCAACTCGTCGTTTCCCATTTGGATTCCACTCGAGGGTCTAGCCTGACGCGTGATGTCCCCAGTCGGCCTTCTCAGTCTATACCCAATCCAATCCATCTCCACCTCCTTCCGGTGCATATTTGTTGAGCAATAACTTCTTGCTTCGTTGGTTCGTTGCCAGCCAGCCAGCCAGCCAGCCAGCCAGAGTTCCTTGTTGCTTATTCTTATTATTCTGGCCATGTGAGCTTCAGTATTGAGCCAGCGTAGTCAGTAGTTGATGAATATCTGTAGTTTGTTGGATATCCCTATCGTAACGTGCCAAGTCTCTGAGCCATACAGAAACACTGAATTGACTGAATTGGTGTTGAAAATCCGGATGTTGTTCACGCTTTGTGCTGAGTGCAGTAGGTCTCCACGCTGATTTCAGACTAGTGAAAGCCTGTCTTGCTTTTGCGATCCCGGTTTTGTAATCCTTCTCTGTGCGTGTGCCGCCTGTAGTTGAAACGATGCTGCCTAGATAGGTGAGAGAGGCTACAGGCTACTTCCTTTGGGTTTCTCCCGTTGATGGTGATTAGAGCTTGTTGTTGTTGTTGTTGGTTGGATATCTTCATCACCTCTGTCTTCTCTACGTTGACTTGAAGTTCCGTGTTCGCTACCCTGCCCTGCTTCTTCTGTCAACCTGTTAATTTTCGCCTGTAGATCTCCGAGTTTGCGCAGGAAGATATTAGACATAAATCATCATCATCACCATCGACGAAATCCAAATCTTCTAGTGTCTTTTCATCGGTGCAACCAGTGTATGCTCATCTTCTCACTCCTCACAGTTTGCTGCATGATCCAGTCGACCACAATTAGGAAAATCATTGGTGATAGTAGGCGACAGCCTTATCTTACTCCTGTCACTTGTCTTCACTTCAAAGGTGTCACTGAGCTTTCCACTGTGGATCACTATGCATGTGGCATCTTCACATAGCTGTTGAATTAGGTTGATAAAGATTTGTGGCACTCCGTAGTGTTGAGCAGCTGCCAAATGACTTGTCGGTCGAGGCTGTCTAATGCCTTTTCAAAGTCGATAAAGTTTAAATATTGAGTTGACTGCCATTCTATGCTCTGTTCTATGATGATGCGTAGCTCAGCGGTGCATATTGATCCGCACATGATTTGTTCTTCCTGAAGTCAGCCTGTTTCGGTTGTAGTTTTGAATGCAGAGGATTTCTTAGTCTCTCCAAGATGATGCAGCTTAAGATTTTGCTTGGGGTGGACAGGAGCGTGATTCCCCGCCAGTTCTTGCAAGCACTGAGGGCTCCCTTCTTCGGTAGTTTGACAAGGTAGCCCTTCTTACAATCAGTTGGCACGTACCTTTCCTTCCTTCCAAACCTTCTACAATAGTGGCGTCAGCATGTCAGCTGTTGTCTCTGGGTCTGTTTTCAGTGCTTCTGGTGGAATTCCATATGTTCCTGCTGCTTTCCCGGATTCCAGCAGTTTTATGGCATTCAGGACATCTGCTTTTGTTGGAGGGCCTGTGTTCACTGATAGTTCTGCCGTTGCTAGTGGTATTTCCTCACGAGTTGCAGGTGGTGGTGGTCGATTCAAGAGCATTTTGAAGTGGTCACCCCATTGTTTCCTTTGTTTCTCTTCTTTGGTAACTAGCTTTCCTTCACTTTCTTTCACTGGTTTCGTCTGAGTTGATCTCTTCCCAGACAGAAAGTAACATGGTTATTTGATATAATGTTGTCAGGTCTCTCCTACCAGCAGCCTGTTCTGCTTCACTTGCCAATGTATCGTAGAAGTGTCTTTTGTCTTTGCGCGCATTCTTCTTCACTTCTTTGTCCAGTGTAGTGTTTATATGATGTACTCAGTTCGTCTTTTAGTTGTGCATCCTTGCACTGGTCCATCTTCTGCTTTAGCATTTTCGTCTCTCTGTTCTATCACCTCCCATGTGTCCGTCGAGATCCATTCCTTGTCTTGCCTCTTCTTCTTCCTTCCTAATACGGTTATGTAGGTTTCTTTCCACATCTGTTTCAAACAGTTCCAGTGTTCTTCCACGCCCGATCCTTAAGGAATGTTTGTCAATGTCTCCCATTTTGTTCTGATGGCTGACGTAAAGATATCCTTTGTAGTTTTGTCCTTCAGTTTTTGTTCTGGTTGTTGAACTTGAAATGTTGTCTATCACCAACTTTGAACTGTGCATACTACTGTAAAACGAATAAATATCTAAAATGGTTTAATAAGTTTGAAAATGATTTACAAATTGCATGCTTCATTTTGACATTTCTCACGACTATGTAGTTTATCATGTGTTCAACTGTTTTTTCAACAAGGTTTTTCGTTAGCAACCACTCACCTACAAGCCAAGATCATAAGATGTCATCTTTGGCATAAATTGGTCTTGAACTAGCGAAATATACTACTACTCATGCTGATCTGTACATTTCGTCAGCTAGATCGTTTGGGGCCTTGCTCATCAGTGGTGGTATACTCAGATTAATTAGGTTTACACACCCTGTATTACCTGAATCTGGGAACACAATTTGTCAGTGGAAAAAATTTTCTGCTATCAGAAATGTTAACATGAAACGTTCAATTTGTAAATCATTTGAAAATTCATCAGTTTAATTTAGGCATATCAATTCATACAAGTGAGCTAATCAGATTCAGGTGATCTGATTTTGTTTGGGCACACCACTAAAAGCTTATGCTTATGATCATGTTGTCTAGAATGACAATAAAAGTTTCGAGCTCAGAAAATACTACCTCATCAAAATCATCTTTATAAGCTACAAATATTCTCCATCATGTCAAGGAGTATGTCCCTTTTTTCATCATTGATTTAAAACTTCAAGTACTGAATCTTAGCTGGTTAAACCTGATTCTTTTGCCTTTGCGGTTAATCCTTAGAATTCTTACTGCCTATCCTTGATGATTGAACTATTCGTGACTTATTAGTCTTTGTTACAAATTCTTATTTTCATCTCAAAAAGCATTATTTTATGCACTAAGGGAAAAACAAGAATTCTTATACCTTAAGCCTGTCGAAAATTAGTAAGTAACTCACTTACTTCTAAAGGAAATTTATCTATAAAATACCAGTGAAGTTGAAAACTAAATTTCTGACATCCTGCGACATTATGGAAACCACTACTTGTATGAATGAAGTATATTTCCCTTATAATCCATTTGCTCAATCATCAACTTGTTCAATTCACTTATTTCTGAGTGGTCATTTCAAGGTCACTTAACGAATGGTGCGACCTCACTATGCTTTCTCGATTCTTCCACAGATGTTATTTTCTATGCAACATAACACTATACCTAACTTCATGAATGAAGAATGGACCAGAAATGGATACTTCCTGTGTTTAGGGTTCATTGAATGTTGTTCAATAATACTTAATTGATCCCCTACCTAAGTGTCTTCTTGGCATGCGTCGATGCAACCAAAACTTCTGTGGGATGACATGAAATGTTGTTTATTTTACTGCTTCTCATTAGTTTGAAATTCGTTATGGGAAATTTTAGAGCATATTGACAATTTTATTTCACTTATTAACAGAATGTGTAAGTAGAATGGCTATCATTCATTTCAACAACAGAAAACTGGAGTTCGAAAAAACGTGAATTTCAATCAAGCGAAATATACTACTGCCAAACAACTTGAGTAGTCAAAAATTACTGACATGAATCTATAGATTTCATCAGCCAGTCATTCATATCAGACAGCCGTTCCGCCCGTTCTAGGTGGAGCTTAGCAACGGTGCCAAGATATTCAGTTCATAGGACCGAACCAGTTCAGATTATTGTGATGTGGCTGGCTCCCTAACTTATATAGACCAGTATACTTGAAACAGAATGATAAATCCGCAAGGATTTGCAATATGCCCAGTTGAGTAGTTGAGAAACTTAACATTTCGACTTTGCTGTTGAAACCATTATCAAGAACAACAAACTGATATTAGGTATGTGGGTAAGTATTGAAGAGTACGCACTTCTGAGGAGTCCAAAGCAAGGACAAAACAGCTGTTCAGGGCTTCCAGTTCTTCAAAGGTTCTCTAACGGGTGTCAGTTAGTGAGGAATACCAAATTAGGATGTAATTTTATTGGTATTTGCTTGTAGTGATTTTAAATTCTCTAATTTACTAATCTTCAATGAACACAATAAACGATATTTTTGCATGGTATTTCACTAATTCTAGGTAACAGTTGTGATTCAATGGAGTTTCATAGACCTTATTTCAACTCAAATTATAAACTAACCGGGAGATTGTATCAATCTTCTGTTTGGCGAACACGTCCTTCTCGAGAAAACCATACAACAAGCCTTATACTTTTGAATGCTGAACGTAATCTAAGGAATATGGAGCGAAGACGTCGATTGCTTCCGGCTCCAGACTTCAAATCTGACAACCATTTACTATCCATGAAAGATAAATGCATTATTTAGTGAATTTTATCCCGTGTGATTTCCACTGCTTTTCCTCAAGCGTTTATGAAAAACTTCTGTGATTTAGTTCAGTACAGTATGTATTATAAACGCACATCTCATTCTCTTGATTCCTAACTGCTTTTTGTAATGGTACGGCAATCTTATCCCAATAACAGTAGCTCTTTATATACACATATGTAGGCATTTTTACATCTAAAAGGAATGTGTGTTGTGCTCATTCCTTCTTGAACTGAGATTATTAAATACATGAATATTTTTCTTCATGAAATTTGTTGTTTTACTTTGACTACTGAATTACAACGAAAGTAGTTAAAACAGTTTTGTTGATGATACCCTGGGGCCATTCAGTAAAATGTTTTGATATATCTAGCATTAAGGTAGCACTGTTACAGTGGTGCTACAATGAAAAAACTAAAGCACACTAACTATTCAAACGGTAAAGCCTAATCAAGCCTGGAGTCATCCATTTGTAAAAATTAGATTGGTGTAATTCTGAGAAAATTGAAGCATGTAATCTAACTTCGAGCTAAACAATATGTATCATTGGTTAATCGAAATTAGCATTGTTGCAAGTTGAGTAGGTGTGAGTTTCTTTTCATGGAGTGTTTAACCAAAACAAACAAGCTGTTCTTCAAAAAACAAACCACTGTCATGAGTTATGAATAAAATCCAAAACACAGGGTTTATCTGAGCTACTGTACTTTATGAATAAATATGATATATTACAATCTTCGTATAGTAAAGTATGTGGGTCTGTCATCGTTAAAAGTAATTTACAGGGATTTCGTCAACAGTATAAACAGCAAACATGTATCCTAAGCAAAGCAGAGGAAAATATGAAAAAAGCGTGGATTTCGATGAGAAGACGCGAGGTTAAATAGGCGTTCAACGTAGAGTATAGTATCAAGGAACAACGAAAGAGATCTAGACACAATCATGAACTCAATAAAGTACAAATACTTAAATGTGTTAAAATGGTGAACAAGATACGATTGTAAAATGATTTAACAAACTTGTGGGTGGAATGACATTTTCGAAAGATTTGAACTTTACTACTTAATAGTCATAAGTAGTATAAAAATTAAAACAAAAAGAGCGCAGGCTAGCATCAAATTGGGTAAAGGATGTCAAAAAAGAACTGACAGAAGGAATGCTCTTTAATTCATCTTTGTTCATTTGTGAGACGATCAATTTCGAAATAAAATGTTGGAGATTCTAAGCAAGTGAGATATGCACCAAACGTTTGCAGAAAATGTCAGAAACCCTTTTCCATGTTTGTAGGTGTAAAGAAAGAGCATCGGACAAATCAGTTAGGTTATCCTTAGCCTCAAGGGAAACTGCTAGATGACATGAGTCTACCAGATAGCTTCCAAACTAAATGATGCCTCACATCAACTATTATGAAATCAAAGTTAACATTCAAATAACGATTTTTTGATACGTAGAAGCATATAATTTAATTTGAGGTGAGTGAGGAATAAAATTTGAGGTTGTGTGTTGTTGAGGAGTCCCACACTAGGACGAAACGGGTATCCAATGTTCCCAGGTTTTCAGTGATTTTCCAACTGACGTCGGACCGTGACGAAAACTACCTGAAAATTAAAATCCGCATTCGTCTCGAAATATATTACTGTGTAATGCTCATTAGTGACACGCTTCCAGATGGATATCCATAGGTCATCCTGAAAAGCCATGATCCAAGGGAGTCAACCAGTTAGAAAGGAAACGGATGCCACCTGAAGATCTTGCATAATGGTCGCGTTATGTCGTCAGTTGACATAAATTAGAAACTATGAACCAATGGATCCTTACCATAATGAGTGAAAAGGTAACGCTTTTGCCATGAAACCTGAAGGTCCAAACCAAGATCCAAACCAAGTTGGGATTTGATGATTTGAAAAGATTTGGGCATTGAGTCAAAATGATACTCATTATTTTGGTATTTCTATTTCTCGAATGAATGTAAAACAAAATAAATTTGTTTAAATTGACATTTCGCCATACTTAATGTTCCTAATAGCTTTACCAAAGTAATGGTAAACTGAAATTTATAATACCCAAGCTTATAAATGATAACTTGACAAGTTTTCTTCTGCATGTATGATTCTGCCCTGTCAGAACTGTAGAAATAAACATGATATCCTTTGTTTTTGCTGAGTGTGAGTGAAAAGTGTAAGAATTACAGATTGAGATTTGCATGTACACAAATGTGTTGGTACTTCTTATCGTATGTATGTCGGTTATGCCAATATGTGGGAAGTGGATTGAGACCAGGTCAAACTGCGTTTTACTTCCCTATTCCTTCCTATTTAGACAATTTTGATTCCACTTAATGTGAAGAGATTCTTCGTTGAGACGTCTTTTATAATTCCTAAAGCCACCTTCCTAAATAGTTTCGATATTGTCAAAATCGACCTTGTGACCTGAAATTATAGTATGTAGAGCTATGGTTGATGTGTTTTCAAGGTTTTTCAGTTCCACGGGATTTCTACAGGGTCGGGAAGAAGCTATTTGGTAATCATTTTCCCCAATTTTGATTTCACGGGAAGTTTGTCCTATGTATACTGCATCACAGTCTGAATATGTTATTTTAAAAACATAATTCAATTATAAATCTAAGGGACCTCGTCCTTCAAATGAACTAAGGTACTCTGGTGATAGTACATTTGTTGAACATTCTCCTGATTTCATTCAATGTATGTGATCTATAAGGGATAACTGTTGTTGAGTCCTATGATTCAGAGTAGTTTTACAACCTAATTTATTGTTATTTTCTATTTTGGGGATGAATTTTACCGTATAATTATTCATTTTAAGCACTCTGTTCACATATTTTAATTCCTCGACTATTTCATTCTCATCCATTACTAGAGTGTGTGCTCTCCTTAAGAGACTGGATACAACAGAAACTTTCTTTCTGTAATAATGGAGAACGTTTGTAGCACAGGTGGATGGCCTTCTCCGTGTTGTGTTTACTGAACTGGGTTGTTTAGTCGTGAAGCTTTCATCGCCTTGCTAGACAGCGACATCATCAGCACTAACTTCAGTATGAAGTGAGTAAGCTGTCAATATCTCTCCATCAGTGATTTACTGACTTGCTCTCACTATGTGGTCTGTGATTGGTTGTTTCCATAGATTGTTGTGTCATTGACTCATTGTATAGATTTTCCTGCTGGCTGTTCCTCTACTTCAACTCTCACCTTTCTATCGTTTATCATTTTTCTTAATGGTTGATAGATCGGGTGTATGTCTATACATCTGTTGGTTGCTGACTGACTGACTGAGCTGAGCTGAGCTCAATGCCAAGCTTCTAGGAATTCTGTGAAATTCTTTGTGTTTCCTCTCTCTGTCCAAAATTTCTACATTGTCGAAATTGAATTCATGCCCATAATTATCCACGTGCATTGAAATGAGTGATGAAATGTCGTGGCGTTTAATGGTCAATTGGTGCTGATGTAGACGAAGGCAAAGAGGGCGACCACTTTTCCCAATCTACTGTTGACTACAATTATTGCAGTTGATTTTGTAAGTGATATTGGGTTTGTCTTCTTTGGTTGTTGCATCCTTTAGTCTGCATAATAGTGTTTGGAGGGAATACAACCAAGACATCTTTCTATCAATGACGTGTCTGAGTCTAATAAATTAGAAATAATATCTTGGCTATCACTAATTGGAATACTAGTATATAACAAGTTGATGTCATAGCTTGGCATAATTTCACCTTCCTCACTTTTAAGTCAAGAAAACTTGGATTTAAAACCAAGTGAGTCTTTTCTTGTGTATTATGACTGCTTTTGTAGGAATTTAAGTATTGAGGTTAGATATCTGGAGAGGTTGTATATTGGTGTGTTGGTGAAGTCCACAGTTGGTCTCAGTGGAACAGAAGATTTGTGAATCTTGGGTAGACCGTAGAATCTGGAAAGTACGTATGACTTAGGTTTGTGCTTCGACCAAATAATTCTGCTGATTTCGGGTTTAAGTTCTTGAAGTAGTCTATTCGTGTTCAGTTTCATTTCGTTCAGTTCGGGTGATCTTGATATAAATTAACTTTGTTTAACATTCATTGGGAAATACAATTACTATAATACTGAAGGTCCTTAGTTCCATCCTCATCTATGTAGCGGGTGCGTACTGTTGACAGTCCCATAACAAGAAGAAACATCTGTCCAGTTCTCCCTAGTTTTCATTAGTTCTCCAACTGATTCTTCAGTATGTGAATATTACTTCGATATATAAGTTATTGAAGATGTTTCACACTACTGCTAATTACATAAGTAGACTAAAATAGAATCAAGCAGCGTCAACTGTTACATTTTTGGAATTCCTGTATTTTTAATGATGTGATTTTCTTCCTGAGAAATTCGAAACCTAAAATGACCATATGATTCTTCAACAAATAGAAGTAGACGCTGGATTTACGCGTAAAACTACAGACAACAATTTTCTATAAATAACTACTGTATTAATAAACAGCAATTACTAAAAAATTATCCACTTCTAATTGTGAAGTAGCTGTTAGCTCATAGCTGTCAGAGTCACTTTACGAGAACATAAACCTTACTACTCATAATAAATAAGTAGTACAAACCTGTATGTATAAAAAGATATGAGTGCAAATTTGAGACAGGACATTTAGAACACAGTGAGAAAGGAATTAATAGATGTCGATTCAGAAGTAAAAGAATTGATACTGATCAGGAAGGTTAAAATCAAATAATTTTTCATTACTAAAATTGAAGTTACCTTGTGTTTATGTAGTCAGATTATCATTCTACTACATGTGACAAATCGAATAGAAAGCATTATATAAGTGTATGTGATGAGTTTATAATGTAAATATATTGTCAAAACATTTTCCGCATGAGTTAAGGTTAAGTCGGACAGGGGCAAGTAGTAGAGATCAAATGGGAACTACTGTGATGAGAATATAGAATTTTGGAAGGGATTATACTGGGTGGCCGGAGACGTCACGCGCCAGGCCAGGTCAGACCGTCGAG